AGGGAAGAGGGAAGAGAGAAGAGGGAAAGAAGAGGTTGAGAGTTTAGTGTACTGCTCAACCTTTGTGAGAGCAAGCTGCTGGATCACTGATCAGCACTAGCCAGGTAAGTTTAATTTTATAGCCCAACACATGAATGATAACGTGCCTTGTAACACAGAACTCCCCTGCTATGGTGATTTTTGTTTTTTTTACATCCCTTGCGCCTTCTAGGTGTCGCCCAGCTCCCGGAGAAGTTCTTGGATGCAGCTTTCCAGGTAGCGCATTTCTTCGATGCACCGAAGGGCCTGCAGCTGCCGAAGGTTCTGCAGCTCTTTCTCGATGCGGCGGTCCCGGTCCAGGCTTTGGTTTTGCCACCGTCTGCGCCACCCCTTCAGCTGGGTCTTCTGCACCACCGGTATGACACACAGTCAGCGAAGCGCTTGGGTCTCTTGAACTTGTCAATCATTTGTGAACCACCACGGCAGATTGACCTTTCCTTTTTTTGTTCCTCGGAACATTCTTTTTTGAAGGACTTTTCCTTCTATGAAGAAGTATCCGATTTTTTTTGTGACAAGTACTACCCACAAAATTGTTAAAAGATCTTTTTGATGGGCTTATTCGCTTGGCCATTTGAAATTTGCAAGCTTAAAGGTCAAGTTCTGCTCTTTTCTGTCTTGTTTAGGTCTCTTCCTTGAGCCTTTCGGATGCTTAAATTTATGTCCTTTGCCGTTTTTCCTGATCGCATTCTTAATTTAGGCACCTTTTGCAGCGGTTTTAAGTTACAATCTTTAAAGATTGCTTTTCTCTGTCTTGTTTAGGCCTCTTTCTCCAAGCCTTTAGGATGCTCAATTTCGTTTCTTTTGCTCTTTTCTTGCCTGCATATACATACATATAATGACATGCATGTAAAAAGTGCATAATAAAGAAAAAAGAATAATAACAATAATAATAAATATAATCATAATAATTATGTATGTGTGTATGCATGTGTATGCCCGTACATACATACATACATATATATATATACATATACATATATATATATATACGAGTATATAGTGTATAAACGCACACTTGCACATGTACGTATGCATGCGCGCACTGCGCACACATGTATTTATGCATGTTGGCCTAAGAATGCAGAAGGCAGCGCAATACGGATCTCGATAGAAAGAAAACAGGGTAGGGGTAGGTCCACCCCAGGACCAATTATAAACCAACCATAATTTATCAACTGTAGTCCCATATGTTTGAAGGTCAAAACGCATGTGAATGATGGTTAAATCCCCATTTTTGTGACCACAGCTAGGCTTGTTGTGCTCATTTAGACGACAAATGACCCGCCGATGGGTGATCATTCCAAAACAAAAGGCCATTCCGTTGGTTGTATGTCCAATGAACATTTCCTGGGATTATATCACCGTTCTCCTAGTACTGCAAGTACTGTACATATGCACAATATATATATGTATATATATATATCACCTGTTTTATGGTCAGAATTGACTCATCATTAAATCCGGTCAAATTCAAGTAATTTCCATTAAACCCCGATTGACATCCTTGTTAAATACAATTTTTGGATGGTAAATCTGTCATGAAATCCAAGTTAATGTCAATCCCACTAATTTCATAGGTATAACTTAGGTATATAGCACACACATATATATATATATATATATATGTAAATCTCTTTTTGATCACTTTTGATGCTTCAAAGACTTCAAAGTCACATGTTCGATGCTTACATTCCAGTCCCATGAAATCCAAGTACAATCACCAGTAGATCCAAGCACATTTCACCAAGATCTCAGCAACATCCGATCAAAATCCGAACTCCGAATTTGGGTGTGGAATTTCATGATTCCACATCTTCGCCCCAGACAAATCGCCATTTGGGTTCTCAAAATCTGGTACCCCAAACTCTGGTTATAGTCAGAGTTTGCTATGACGGATGGATATGACAGATGGATATGACAGATGGATATTTCATAGTTACTCCAATGATTAGATGGATGTTTCATCGTATGTACCTCCATGGATGTCCATCTAACCATTAGAGTAACCATACGAGATATCCATGATCTAACTATTAGATCTATCTATCCATCTAAAATTGGATCCAACAAATCCATAGATGGCCATTCTGGGAAGATCCCCCCATGAAAATCACCCTCTGTCAATGGATTGGTTTTCTTGGGAAAATCTTAACCGGAAACCATCGATTTTCCCATGAAGATTATGGGCTTTTCCGCTTACACAAATTTCCCAAAATGGGGGTTCATGAATATCCAAAAATGGGGGTTCATTCATATTATATATTCATAAAATAAAGCCAAAAAAAAGACTCCCCCATTTTTGGATATTCATAGATCCCCTATCCCATTATATAATCCCATGATATTCCCATTGTATACTTATAGCATTATTTATTATCCCAATCATTATAAATGGCCCATAAAATGATGGGTTTTGATACCCCCCCCATGAAAAACCAGTCGAAACCCTCCCAGTCGACACCTCCATCTGCCCGAAGACGTTCAGCGCCTTGCGCCATTCCTTGGCCTTTTCGCAGGCGCTCACGACGGCGCCACAGGTGACCTCAGTGGATTACGGTTCTGCCTGGTGGCCTAGTGCTGGAAAACCATGGCAAAAATGGGGATTTAACCATTGGAAATATGGAAAAAGGTGGATTTCACCATTCGAAATGTGGATTTAACCATGATTTAAGCGTGAAGAATTTGGAGTTGACCATTGAAATATTGGGATATTTATGATATTTGACCATTAGAAGATATGGATTTAACAATCAAAGGGTGGTCTAATCGTCAAAAGTAGGTAAAACAAACAGGAATTTTTATCAACTTGATGAAGGATATCCACCTATAATTCACTAGTCATTGGGCACATTAATCATATTTTCGGGGGAATATGATGGAGACATGAACATGTAGAAAACTGAACAGCTACCATGAATTGATGAACGACCATGGTCATCCAATGGAGCTGTAACAAACATGGGCTTTACCAGCATTTCAGCCTCAACCATGGGGAAAACTGGGCAGGAAAACAGGAAAACTGGGATCTCATCTATCCTGGTTGGTCTGGTTGGTGGTTGACCTACCCCTCGGAAAAATGATGGAGTTCGTCACTTGGGAGGATGAATTTCCCAACTGAATGGAAAAATAAACATGTTCCAAACCACCAGTATCATATTATGACATATTGTGACCCTGTTATATGTGGAACATACCCCATTTCTACATGGCTCAGGGTTCCATCTCGAGCCGGTGCAAACATCAAGAACCACCGCAATTCCACGGTGCTAAATCCACCAATGTCCTGGGATATTCTTTTTGATGCTCCTCCTTTTGACGTGTTTTTTGGGATATCACCCGTTAGTAACCACAGGAAACAAACAAAGCATCATCATCCCTGCATGGCAACCCAATCTTTGGTCAAATCCTTGTCTTTCTTCCTGAAAAAACACCACTTTTGAGGCTAAAATCGCCAGAAATTCTCCAGTAATTCTCCAGACTAAATCACCAGTTTTGCAGCTGAATCAGCAATTAAAACTATGATGATAGGCTTATCCCCGTTACATCCCAAATTGGTTGGTGTAATTACCCGGTAAGTCCCCATCTAATCCAGTCAAATCCCAAACCAGGTCCGTATAGCGAAAACGTCAGGTGACCACATTCGGTCGCCCCATCTGTGCGAAGATCTGCAGGGCGTGGCGCCAGGCCGTGGCTTTTTCACAACAGCTGAGGGCTGCGCCGAAGGTCACGACTGTGGGAGAAAGGTCCTGGATTTTTGTGCCATGACCCTGGGGAATTGACCCAAAAGGGCGATTTTGCGATGTTGTCAACCAAAGTTGAGTGCTCAAAAAATCGTGTTAAAACAAGAGCCATGTTGGACTAGAAAAAACATTGGACTTCAGTAACTTATGTGCTCAATTTACACCAGAAAATGACGAACTGGGTGCTTTAAACAAGAAAAATGAAGAGTTATTCATTAACACAGATTGGAGACGTTGTGGTTTTCTCAGCTAAGACGGAAATTGTTGGTTGTCCTGGGTCATGGATGATCCTTCAAAAAAAAAAAATATTTCCAAGGATTGCCATCGGGTCAAATGCATGCTGCATCAATGTGCAATGGGCCCCCTAAAACGGTTGGGTCCTGCATGGGAAGATGGTGGAAGAAACTTAGAGCTGGTTGCCAACATGCACCCTTGCCATGTGAGCTGATGACGGCGTTCAGGGTGATGATGTTGGGCACCACATGCAGCTGGTTCATGTCTTGGCAGATTTCGAAGGCATGCTTCCACTGCCCAGCTTTCTCGCAAGTAGTGATAGCAGCACTGAAAGTGTACACGTTCGGCTGAACTTTAGTTTTTGGCATTTGTGCCAACAGCTCGCATGCATTGTGCCACCAGTTATGTTGCGCATAGAAGGAAATCAACTTGGTGTAGTCTCGAACGTCGTACCGGGTACCCAGGGTACCTCTGATTTGCGGGCGATTTTCGCCCCCATCTAAAACGCTCATGTAAAACATCCATCTTTCAAACAAAGTTGGAATGTATCCAAAAATATGAAACCCAAAATCAGCTTGCGCCTCACTGTTAAGTCTTTGCCAGAAGCACGCTTCGGTTTACGTGTTGGCATTTCTTCCGACATTTCTTCTATTGTATTCTGACATTTCTTCCCACATTTCTTCCGACATGGCATTTCTTCTGACACCATGGGATGCGGTCCCAGATACCGTTGCAAGACTGCACCATGGCCCATCTGATCCCACCGCGTCATGGTGAACTCGAGCCGAGAGGGTCCGGAGGTCTCAAAAGTGGATGGGAAAAGTTCGATTTTATGAAGCCCAAATGGGATCAATCTTATCCATCCGGGGTATATATCCACCCAAGATTTGTCGGATGCGCAGGGCGCAAAAATTGGGGCTTCGACCAATAGATTATATGGGGTTCCCAAGGTATCCCAAGGTCCCAGTGATTTGAGCGCCAACAGGTACCACAAGGGGGTTCTGGGTAGGAAAGATGTGCTGCAAGGCGGAAAGTATGCAAAATCAATTTCGAACAAGTCGAAAAACGACAAGTCGAAAAGTGGAAAGGTTTCGTTTTGAATTTCAAAAAGTCGAAAAGCCGAAAAGCGAAAAGGTGTCTTTGTGAATTTCGAAAAGTCGAAAACTACCGTAAGAACGGGTTATTTTTAGATTTATTTTTAATTTCGGAAAGTCAAAAAGTTGAAAAGTATATTTTTTATCTGTTTCACTTTTCACTGTTTGACTTTTTGATTTTTTACGGGATGCCTTTCCAGCTGAACACGCGCAGCTCTTTTTTCCAGCTTGGGAATTCCCGGGCAGCATCTCTCTTACTTTTGGAGTTGCTGTCTGAGTTCTTTCTGTGATGAATATCCGTGTTAATCAGAAATCAAGAAGCCAGCCCTGACTTGAAGGGCAAGGGAATTTCGATTGCTTCTCAAACAAGTGCACTTCAAATGGATGAACCCTAAGCAAATACAGAGAACAAACTAAGCGGATAAGTCTGGAGACTGCCAGTCTATTTGGCCCATTTTCCAGTCCACACGGATGGTATTTCTCAGTCTCACGGCCATCGACAAAACCTACAGCTACTGAGCACAGGTTGCAACCCTCATTGCACTTGGAACTGAATCATCTACCATTGCACCCAAAGTCAGTTCTAACTTCAAACAGTTAAACTTCACCTAATACACATAAAGGATCTTTCACTCCTATCTGGGTATGGGTCAGAAACCTGGTACATCTTGGTACCTTTAGCCGATATTTATGGATGTTCGCCCAAAAAATATCCAAAACCATGGTCCAAAATATCTTCAGTTCCACGAATTCCAGGCGATCACCCCCAGGTGAAGCTGAAACTGCTCTGCAGCATGGTCAAGACAGGTTTCCCAAGTCATGGGGGTACCCCAAGCTCGCTGGATGGTTTATTTCATGAGCAATGCCAATCTAAAATGGATGATTTAGGGGCACCTCTATTTTAGGAACCCTCCACATCTCTATCTTAAAATATACCAATCGCTAGCATATGCCATGTATCTCAACAGTTTCCATTAGTATACATAGTACATTATCTCTATGAAACAATAGCATCCCTATTGCATGGTGAACTTTAGATATAGTAGGATTCAATGGACATTTTTATAGGATCTAATGGGATATATTAATATCTGATAATAAATCCGTTCCCTATGATTCAATGGGATGTTAATGTACATTAATGGCATCTGGTATCCAATATATTTAACATATGATATTCATATCTGATCTAATGGGATATATTAATATCTGATATAAATATCCGATATAAAGATCTAATATCTCTGCCAATGGGATATTAATATCTGATAATAAATAGTATCTATATTAAGGGCTATTGTTATATCCCAGGCTATTAACATCCCATTAGCCATTAGATCAGATTTATTTATATTATAATTGAGGTTACCCTCTGGTAAACTAACATATCTATTGAACATGGACCATAGAAATAGTTGATTTACCTATTAAAGATTAGTTGATTTTCCATGGTTCTGTAAACGTTTACCAGAGGGTAATCCATCACCCAGTGGATTTCATCAACTAACCCCCAGATCAGATTTATATCCCATTAGATCAGATTTATTTATATTATCATTGAGGTTAATATCTATCTTATAAATATCCATCCAATAAATCTGGTCTAATATAAATTAGATCTCTAATGATAAATATCCCATAGATCCCTAATGACTTTAATATCTATCTTTATCTCCATCCAATCGGGATTAAGGTCCCCATCTTCGTTGGACGCGCCGCTCGCAGGAACTCACGGCCGCGTTGAAGGCGATGACCTCGGTCAAACTCTCCGCCGAAATCATGGGAATTTCATGGGAAACTCACGGGATATTAAGGGGATATTGATTGGAATACATGTTGGAATATTTTTTGTTGGAATATTTTCTGGAATAGTCATGGAATATTAGCGAATACTCTGATTACTGGAGGGTAAACATTTGAACCCATGGTATAGCGGGTGGTATATCGAAAAAAATGAGAGAACTATCAACTTGATAGCCGACAAACATCAGGTTTTGAATTTAGGTATCTATAGATTCTTCAACAAATACTGGTTGGTGGTTTTAATCATGTGGAAAAAATGAGTTCGTCAATGGGAAGGATTATCCCATATGAAATGGAAAATAAAAGTCATGTTTAAAACCACCTACCAGAATAGATTCCAAGATGGTTGACGGGTGCATTTTCCCAGTGAAATTGAGGATCTTCAAGAATTCTAACATGGAAAATCCCGTCGGTTTTTTCCGCTGGAATTTCGCCCTAGATCTCCATCCATCGCATCTATCATGCTAATTCAGTGATCCAGAACTATCCAGAGTATCATCACCATTATAAGCCCAATAAAATCATCACAGTGTCATATATATATATATTCCATCATATTCCATCAAAGTCCAGCTATTCCCATGATAATTCCATAAATGGCTGGAATATAATGGAATAACATGTTATATATATATATAGTATGGCTGGAGGTTATCCCATGGTAATATATGGTATTGGGATATATAATCTGGTTGGTGGTTGAGCCCTACCCCTCTGAAAACTGATGGAGTTCGTCAGTGAATGGAAAAATAATCCAAATGTTCGAAACCACCAAGCAAAAACTATGGAACCACCCATTTTTCATAGGCAAAACATCAATAAATCTGACATTACTATGGATATATAAATGATGGGATCCACTATTTTATTATGGTTATGGGGATCTATCAATAAATGTCAACTATCAAATGCTATGTTGATAACCAAATGTCAACTATCAATAAATGACCTCCATACCCTCTGGTAATTTAACATAGCTATGGAAAATCACCATGCTATTAATTAATGGGAAAAACAACTATTTCTATGGCCATTTTCAATAGCAAACTGTTAGTTTACCAGAGGGTAACCATAACCAAAACCATATCCAAATGGCATCATTAAATCACCATTAAATCACCATTAAATCATCATTAAATCACCATATAAATGATCCCCATAACCATAAAAGCACCATATCCAAATGCCATCCACGTGACATCGCTTCGCAGCTTCGCTCCCTCCATGGCCGTCAGCACTTCGAAGGCCTGGCGCCAGGCGCCGAGGCGTTCGCAGGAGCTCAGGGCGGCGCAGTAGCTGACGACCGTCCTAGGGGATTTTCTTGGGGACGTATCATATATAATTATAGGGACTAAGGACTTATCCATATTAGGGATTATCCATATTTCATTTGTCAGGGACTCATCATTTGATGGGGATATGTTTTTTTACCTGACAGGGGAAAACATGCTGGATTTCATATGGTTTAATGATGTTGAATGGGAGGACTTATGAAATATAATGAATGGTTTAATTTCATAATCCCATTATAATCCCATTTCATTGAATGGGAGGACTTATCCATGGGATTACACTCACCTAAAATGGGGAAACGGAAAGGTTGTTCAATGATATTGGATGGGATTATAATGGGATTATGCTTTCTAATTAAGTACCAGAAAATGGAACATGTAGGGATATGTCGCGGGATTTTGATCAGCAAAAACATGGAACACAGGGTTTTTAATGGGATTTACCAATCATGCATGGATTCTTGTAGGATTTTGACCGTCAAAATTGGAAGAAATCGGATTTTACCATATTGGACCACGCAGACTAGGATGTAACCATCGACAATAGTGACTCCGCCAGCAAAAAATGGGGATTTTAGTGGCAAAAAATGTGATTTACCCAGCAGCTGCGATGATATTCCAACTGATGGGGGTTCACCATGATGAAAGATCCGGGAGTGAACCCGAAGCTGCACCCAGCGAACATAGAGATAGAATGGGATAGACCTACTGCATGGCTCAAGCAACAAGAAACTGGCGACAAAAACACAACAGCATAGCAGAATAGGAACACTCTGGACATGAAATCTGAAGCTTCAAGAATAGGTTTCAACCAACAAGTCAGGGAATTTCACCAATGATAATGGGGATTGGAATTGACACCATTTTTCATACTTAAATATGTTTACATGATGTTAAATGATACTTGTGCATGGTGAATCAGCAGGAAACACCAACATGTTATGAACGTGAACGAATTCAAATGGCCATTTGTGAACGAACTTTTCGCTTCCATCCCGTGTTTGCATGGCCAGGTGTCGGTTCCAACTTGGCATGACCCATGCTTCGAAGCACGCCAAAGGCTTTGCGCCGTTGGTGGCCCTTCTCACAAGCGCTGATGGCAGCGTTGAAACTGATGACATCCAGCTGGAGGTCTGAGAAAGACAGCACCTGAGGGAGGGATCCCAGTAACCAATCGTACAGTGGGTCACTTTACATGATGCCAGGGGGAATTATGACCATTGTAATACCGTTATGATACCATCATTAAATTATCAGAAGTGACAAATAAATAAAAAATATGAAATGTTATGATACTTCATAAATCAATGATGGTATCATTGTAATACCGTCATACAATACAACGGTATTAGCGTTATGATTATATTCCCAAACTTCAGAAGTGTTAATTTGGGATGGTTCAAAAGTTCAACGGTTGGTTTTTTGTTGGGTTCAGCAGTTTTGGAGGTGGCAACGGTGTGACCATGCATGTCGTGAGGGTTTCAATTACAAAGTACCAGCATACATACTAATCAACAGAATTGAGGATCTCAGTATCAAAACCTGAATCAAACTGAGACTGATTAACCAACAAAACTGTTTGATGTGTTGCAACTAGGACAACTGGACAACTTGGGATTGATTTGATGAAGTTGATGAAGTGTGGATAAATTTCTGACGATTTGACCCACCTCGAAGAAGCTCAAAGCTCGCTGCCATTCCCTGGCCTTTTCGCAAGAACTGATGGTGGAGTTGAAGGAAATGAGATTTGGCTGAACCGCTGCTTCTGGCATAGCTTCCAGTAATCTCAAGGTCTCTTTCCTGGGTTGACCCGACCACTGCCCCAAAGTTGGCTCGGCACATCGAAGTTGTCGTCATTTCCCAATCAATTTCGTTGGGGGGTTCATAGCAGAAACATGACCAACATGTACCAACAATCAGATACGCTAGCTTGTTCTGGTTGGTGGTTTTAACATGTTGTAACCATCTTGAAAAATGATGGAGTTCGTCAATCGGAAGGATGACATCCTCAATATTTTTTCATGGAAAAATAATCCAAATGTTCCAAACCACCAGCCAGTTTTGGGATGGCTAATTTTGTCAACTTTGGAAAATCACCATCTATTTATTGGGTAAATCCACTATTTCTATGGCCATTTTCTATGTCGCAAACTCTTAGTTTACCAGAGGCTAATTTGGAAAAAAACGACCAGGTCTGTGGTTCGATCTACAGATTTGACCAAGAGGCCACTCGCCACACTTCTCACAGGCACTGATAGCGGCATTGAAACTGATCACATTCCTGGGAAGCCGAGCTGGAAGGTTTCAGTCGGTTCGATTGGATTATCTCCTGATCAGCCTGGTCCAATTCTGGGATGGTGGGGGATTGAACGTGGTGGATCAAGTTAGCACAAACGGAGCTTTAAACCATGACATTACATGGAAGTATCTGGCAAGGGATCTGAGAAACGGAACTCGGGATACATCAAAAACCATGTTGTTGGTTGATAGATACATTACATAGATATTTATATTGAAAAACAACATAGATAGTCTTTATATACAAGATATTTTAACATTTTCTATATACTATAATATACATAGATATTTATAACTATACAGCCATCACATATTGAAAAAACACCTGTTGTTAGCCCAGCTTCGGCGGCACTTCGCTAGCCATGGACCAAAAGAGGCACAGAGCCAGCTGCCATTGCCCCGACTTCTCGCAGGCACTGATAGCTGCCTCAGCTTGAAAGATATCCCTTGGGATATGGCCATTAAGTGCATGGTAAGGTAGGGATATTCTAAAGGGACAGCTATTAATGTCTATTAAAACATATAATATCTGATAAGATGGGGATATCCCGAAAGGATAACTATTTGAAATCAAACATCATCAACAACATGATAGTTATCCCTGGCTACAGTATCTTTGTCTTGTTTTTTGTTGTGAATACAGTGATTATCAACTATTAGGACGATTGATGATGATGATGATGATGGTGATGATGATGGTGATGATGAGATATAATAAGATCATATACACTATGCGTGATTCACGATGCATGGTTCATTCTACATCTCTATGATGTTGGATATAATGACGATATTGATGCCGCCAGTGCTTTTCAAACATGGACACGGATTTCTATGAAACTTTTTTGAGTTCCATGGATGAAGCATCAACAACTTCCATCATGTTACCACATCCCCATACATCTCCCACATATTTCCAAGATTTCTTGCCGAAAATTCCATTGATCCTGACCAATCTTTGATGTACCGCAAAAAACCAATGGTTGGTATATCTCCCCATCTCAATTGATCGTACCATTTGCACCAAAGTACTGTACTAGTACCACTGCTTCTCGGATTCGGAAAATAAGTCCCAAAATTCAACGATTCACAGCACCATTATCTGGTTGGTGGTTGAGCCCTACCCCTCTGAAAAATGATGGAGTTCGTCAGTTGGGATGACATTCCCAACTGGATGGAAAAATAATCCAAATGTTCCAAAACCACCAACTCAACCAGTCATTAATATTCCATTCCCAGAGGCTTAATCACCATTAAGTCACCATCAATATCCCTATTAAATCATCATTAAATCATCATTAAATCATGTTCCAAACCACCAACCAGTTATCTAATTCTACTTCTTTATGGTGAAATCCCATGATAATCCCATGAAACCATGATCTAATTCTTTGGGGGTGTTTCAGTATTTCACTACCTTCTCCCCATCCAAAGCTCTACCGAGCTGCGCTGAAAGTCACCACATCTGGCACCAGCGAAGCCGCTTGCTTCAAGGCATCGAAGAGCTTCAACGCCTGTGGCAGCGACCGGGAACATACGGTGGATGGTTGAGACATCCGAATCACCAGTTAATAGGTGGTAAACATCCCATTATTCATAGGCTTTTAACCATCCTTTTGGTGGTGCAGGATTTCGCAACCATCCACAGTATTTATAACCTTAATCATTAGATAGACATAACTTTTTGTCAGTGGTGAAACATCTAAAATAATCTAAACATTTCATCATTAAAGATAGTTCTCTAATGTTTGATCTTCTACTGCCAGCCAGTTATATATGTTATATGGTCTGCCATACATCATAAGCCACTTCCCATCAACAGCAGTCCTAATTCCTGCTGTAGACAGCCACTGTGGAGATGAACAACCGCAGTTTCTGGCGATTCACAACCCCAGAATGAGCAACTCATACAGAAATTGGACTATTTTACCACAATTTTCAGCACCATGAAACAACATTTTTTCTACGAAATCTCCTAAGAAAAAACATCGCCATTTCAACTCATGTTTTTTTCACTCACTGGAAAAAATCGGCCTGTTGCCATTCCTTGGCCTTTTCACAGGCGCTGATGGTGCCATTGAAACTGACCAGCGTCGGCTGCAGATCTGCTTGGTAGATCTGGCTGAAGAGGCTGAGCGCCTGTTGCCATGCGCCCACCTTCTCGCAGGAACCTGGGGATGCCATTTGAGAAAAACACATCTTTTTTTTTTGGGATTTCAATAGAAACATCTTCTATCAATGAAGACAATGTTTATTGGGATTTAGTGTGATTTCGATTTGGCACAATGGCAATATAATTGGAACTCATGGGGGTTCAAACATCAAATTTGTTTGGATTCAACTAAGGAAAATGTGGATTGTGTTACTCCAAAAAAAACACGGCTACTGTGTTTGTGTTTTAAACAAGTGTCTTTTCTAATGGGATACGAGTCGACAACATAACAGGATTTACTGAATCAAACATGGATATTTTCCAGCAGGAACACTGGTGATATCAAACATGGAGGAAACTAGCCTCTTCGACGGAAAATCAACCCGTTCAATTGCTAATAACTTCTTAATTTCGATATAGAATTTGGAGTTGTTCCATAAAATTCAAAAACGCCTGGTATTCCTGCTGACATTCTCAGAATGATGATTGTTATCATCATGATCATTATCACGGGAATATAATGATAAACATCAAAATCACTATGATCATTCTTGTATAACATCAAAACCAAAGATACATTGAACTATTGTCATTCAACGTATATATATATATCATTATCAAAAGTTCATTTTGGCATCTCCAAACCATGGTTTTCACCGGTTATGGTATCCCTCATTAAATGAAGATCATTGAAAATCACCAAGCTCCATCCAGATTTATCCCCAAACACCTTCCTTAGTTCACTAACATAGACGTGGAAAAAACGTCTAACAAACATGCAGATCATTTTCTGACGGAAATATACTAAGGGATATACTAAATGGATTAACCAGCTAATAGTACTTGGTGATTCACCAACTATACTAATGGATCTCTCCCATTCATTAGTACATCCCATTACCCTCTGGTAAACTCACAGTTCGCTATTGAACATGGCCCAGTCGAAATAGTGGATTTTCCCATTAAACATTAGGTGATTTTCCAGTTCGCTATGTTAAATTACCAGAGGATATACTATATATATAAATGGATTACCAGAGGGTACATTCTATACAAATGCAACATCAACTAGATTAGCATGTGTATTTACCAACTATACTAATGGATTAACCATTCATTAGTACATCCCTTTTTAGTATTTCCCACAGCAAATCACCAAGGAACTGATGCTGGCGTTGAAGCTGATCACGTCTGGCTGCAGCCTCCAACTGGCCATGGCCTCCAGTAGAGCCACACCGCGCTGCCACTGGTGGCACTTCTCCAGGGAGCTCAACGTGGCGTTGAATGTGATGAGGTCCTGGGAGCCCCTTGGGAGCCCCTGAGAGTGGGACCTATGCCATGAAGCCATAGGTTTTTTTGTGTGGATTATGTGTTATTATGGGATATCCAAGACATTTTCTATGGGATATCAAAGGGGATATTAGTGGATATATATATAACTGCAATAAAATGGGGATATGAATCGGGGTTGCTATGGAGAAAATAGGTCTGAGAATGGGATGCAAGAGTCAGAGATATGAGGATTTATCTAGGAAATATGGGGATTGAATGGAACGCAATAGGAGATATCATCAGCAATATAGGATTTCACCATGAAAAGGGGATGTTTCATGAAACATTGTGAGGATATCATGGGAATATCATGAGATATTTTTGGGGATATTGATGGGATATTGTCACGGGTATCATGGGGATATCATGAGATAAGCTGGTTGATTGGGTACAAACAATGGGCATTTAGCCAAAATTTATCACACAAAATGGTGGTCAGTCACCAAGCATAGGTCTTTCGCTTGACACGATGGGAATTCAAGCAACACAGATGGGGATTCACCATGTTCATTAGGATATATCACTGGCCACGACTCAGGAACCGATTGATTGGAGGTACCTACCATATATAAGGCCTATTTTTTAGGCCTATGTAAGGGAATATTCACACAAAATATGGCCTTATATGGTACAGTACCTCCATTTTAGGATCCTGAAATTCCCATTGAATATAAGATGGTTTGGATTTACACCACTGGAAGTGCAAGACGAGCCTGACAAAACCTTACCTGGTGTAGCTTGGGACTATTTCTAGTATAACATGGTAAAACTAAACCATGATCATGGTGGTAATCATTGGTGATAACTTGGGATACGGGCTCCCCAATGAGTACGAGAACAAGACGTATCCTGTGATCATCTTCCACATCCAATGAAATTTTTCATGCTTCATTGAGGTGGTTAAAATACCAACATGAAGCCGAACATCAGGGGCTGATTCAATGCCTATTTTTGAGGACTTGGAAATTCATCTCCCAACCAGTACGTGATTAATGACCAGAGTAAAAACACCTATTTATAGATGCGTCCCCATGAATGGTGAACTTGCTAACCAGGGTTATTCACCAATTACAACTTGTGGCGTTCTGCATCATCCTTAGCCAAGCATCCAGTTGTATGCCAATCGCTGGGGCGGTGCTAAATATGCTCAGAGCTTGTTGCCATTCTGAGCCTTTCTCACAACTACCTGGTGGTTGAGCATGTTGAGCTGCCCAGAAACAATCGTACCACTACATAAACAGCTTGAAATAGGGATACTAACATTAACAGGTTACCCCCCATAAAAATGGTGCTATCACTATTGGGGATATAGCCATTGAACATGGACATATCTGGTCAGCATCAATTAAAGAAACTCAACTGGCCACGAGTCAAAGCTGGATCATCATCGCATTTTCCATCCCCAAGATGGGATGAGGAGCTATGGAAAATCTATGGAAAATCTTGGACATGTTATGGAACATCTATGGAATATATATATATGGAAAATCTATGGCAATTTTATGGACATTGTATGGAACATCTATGGAAAATAAGAAATGCATGAAACCAAAGCCCAGCAACTGATGGCCGCGTTCACAGAGATCACATCCAACGTGCCAGGACTCCGAGGACTCCGCTTCAGTGTGGTGTAAAATAAGAACAAGGCGTGCTGCCACTGCTTGTCCTTTTCACCTAGGATTGGGAACCAGTGGAACCAGTGGAACCTCTGGGGGATGATCTGAAGCAAGCTGAGTAAATTGCCACGTTCAAGCTTTAAACATGATAAAAACCATCAGCCCCAAACGGGATGAAGAATGCTAGAAAGAAAGCACCACTTCAAAACTTCACAACAGTGAGTCAGTTGCGAGCAGAGATCGCTCAAGTCCCCAAAGTTTGCTTGTTGAAATCAGATATCAAACTCTTTTTTGGCGGCTGAAATCCCCAAATTCCAACTTTTGTCCTTCCCATGAACAAATATCTCCATTAATTATAGCAAAAGATGACTCGAGGACGTTACCCATCAATGTCGTTGCTTAATTCCATCATTAAAATCATTACCATCCCCATTTTTCTGGGGCTGTTCTGCTTTACCAACCATCTTTCTCCAGTGACACGCGGTGATGGCTGCATTCAACGCCACGTTCGACGCCTGGATCTCCGCCCCAAAGAGCTGCAGGGCCCAGCGCCAGCCGGAGACGGGCGAAGCGCCGCCCACGGGCGAAGCGCCGCCGACGGCGGCGATGGCGGAACTGAAGCTGAAGGCATCCTCAATTCGCACCGTGAAATGACGGGAAAACATCAATGATGGTTTTCATGGTGTAATATAATGGAATAATTATACCATTGCCATTAATGGAATAATAATACACCCCTAAAGATCAGAAACATGATCTGGTTGGTGGTTGAACCTACCCCTCTGAAAAATATGAGTTCGTCAGTTGGGATGATGACATTCCCAACTGGATGGAAAAAAAAACATGTTCCAAACCACCAACCAGTCAAACAATTGGTGATTTTTCACATTGTGAGCAGGCCGCAAGGATCGACCCTTTGAATGCCGGGAATGAACATATTTGAGTTTCACTGAAAGGGAATTCAAATGATAGAAACATTGTTTTTCATTTTTCAATAAATGGTGACAAATTGAACAATTTTCTATTTTTTTGGGGATTGATGGAAAGGGAATACAATGCAAATATACTACCTAGGATATGGGAATACAGTGGGACAAATAATGGCTTTCCAGGGAGTCATGAAATTCGAGGTGGATTTGATCAACAAAGATGAGATCCAAAACCAGCAAGCAGCAGGGGATCTGAGAAAATAGGATGAAAATTCAAGCAGCTCTGATCCAAAACCAGCAAAATATGGATCTAAGCCACAGAAAGATACGCCCAATTTATTGCATCCAGCCACATTGCTGGCACACCGTGCCAGCTGCGGGTCTCCAATGAGATCCAACTCTTGAAATCTCATTACTGAGTGGTTTCACGACTGGTAGTCCGTTTTCCAATACCAAAAAGTAGCTTGCATGTGTCTGAAAATAGAGTACACCCCAAATCCACTTGTTGGAAACCTCATTTTGGGCATTTTCAGACAAACACACATTCCATACTATTAGTTTAGTCTTGATGATTGATCCCTAAATTTCCCCCAAAAAATCATCAATTCTTCCTCCTTGAATTCCCAATTTACCACAGGTTTCGTGGGATTTTAGCTACATGGAGGTTTCCTAAAACAGGGGCTACTCCCAGTTCTCATCCATTGATAGATCGGATTTTCCATTACAATCCAACGGTTGGATAATGGAAAAAAACAATATATGAAGGGTAGTATATTCTACAATCATCAACCATCATGTCTCATATATCCTCTTATATTCCAAGATTTTCAGGGTTAAGTTCCTCTTTTTTTCAGATATATTTTCAGGGTAGATAAGGCGAACTAATCATCAACCAACAGTGGTTTAGCAGCCACTGCTCATATTCCATATCAATAATGCTAGTTGTTTATCCCCGAACTAATCATCATAACTTACAAAAAACCATCATTAACCAAGATTTTCTTAGTATATAACTTATATAACCATATATAACCATCATTTCTCATATATCCATATATATCCCCGAACGATTATCAACATCCACCAACGCAACAAGGGCTGAAATCCCATGGGACCCCCATGGGACCAGGTCACTGGCGCCGTTCGTTGCTGCTGCATCCGTTCCACGCACCGCAGCGCCATTGGCCACGGTGGCTTCAGGCTGTTGAGGCTGTTGAAGCTGACGGAGCTTGGCCTCGGGGAGAGCGAGCGATAGCGCTCGAACCGTAGCCCGCCTGAAAAAAGTGGCTGAATGAACTATGGTTTATGGTAGATATAACAATAGTATAACTATAGTTAGTGGGGGTTATTTCTTGGTTTAACAAGAATCTTTGGATGTTAATACTACAGATCATCCTTGGTGTTTTTTTCGTGAACAACGCTGGGTTTATCCTCTGTCTAAGATGATCCCTCGAGGTGTTTAGAATCATCCTAGGATCATCCCTGGGTGTTTATAGTAGTGAGCAAGCCAAGGGATTTGTCATCCTAGGCTGAATCGTAGGTGTTAAAGAATCATTGGTAGATAGCATATGATAGCATCCTAGGGTTTGGGAACCATGAGATATTTCCTATTTATATAATCGTGGGATTTTTTATTATGAGCAACAGATGGAATTATCGACTTAGCAACTGTACCCACATAAAATAAGTACAAACTGGGATATATATATATTATTGCTGTCAGTAGCTAACGTTATGATTCTATGATTAACATTACAATCCAGGATCTCACCCTTCTATATTGGATTTGCTCTGGAACCCCCGCAATATATGACAGATTCCTTGTAGATTCACATGTTTCAGCTGGTGGCCCAAATCCAAACCCATGCACCATCGATTCCCACGTATGAGAGACCCCACATCAGCGAAGTGTCGGGCAAAACACTCAGCAAAAATAGGAAGGTGGTTGAACTTATCGGTTAATTTTGGCGAAAATGGCTTGAAGGGAAAGAGGTATGTTATAGAGTTGGTGTCAAACGCTTTGCCCTGCGGTGACTGCCAAGATTTCTCAAATCACTTCAAACATGACTATGACAATGACGACTGTGAGAACAATGACCATGATGTCGAAGAAACATCGGTCATCCTTCACCAATCCCACAGATCCCTGTGGTAAACGTTTACATAACTATGGAAAATCACCATGCTATTCATGGGTAAATCCACTATTTCTATGGTCATTTTCTATAGCAAACTGTTAGTTTACCAGAGGGTATCCCATCTTTTTTGGCCGTCTTCGTTTTGAGCCCATCCAGGTGACTGGAGATGTGCTAGGAGCATGTCATCGAAGAAACTCATGGCCCGTGGCCAGTGACTGGCAGCCATGGCTACGTTGTAGTGGATGACCTCCAGCTCAACCAGCACGGTCAACTGGGGCCAGCAAAACTGGTAAAACAACAGCCAAATCCCATCTGGTTGGTGGTTAATGGTGGTTAATGATGGTTAATGATGGTTAATTAACTGGTTGGTGGTATACCTATCCCTCAGTTCGTCAGTTGGGATGATGACATTCCCAATATATGGAAGAACAAATGTTCCAAACTACCAATCAACCATGGTTTTTGGAAGGGTCGGACGTCTTTTTGATACGGAGATATGGACAGAAATCTTTGTTTGGAATAATGTTGGCATACAAGGTGACTGGGGCATATAGGGTGATGCTTCAAAGTTGGTCTGCCAAGGTTGGTGATGGTTGCAGCAGTTGTATCCCCGTGGTGTATGGCGGTATCCCTTATTTTTGTTGCTTAACGCCCCCTCTATTTGTTGGTTGCCAAACTGAGCCCGCAACGATTCACCAAGTGGCGTCAACCAATGAGATCATCGAAAAAAAACTTCACCAAGTTTTTTTTTGTATCTTGACTGAGTCACACACCAAGATGATTTTGGGATGATTTTTGGGGGTTCTCAAGTTACAGACTTATAGATGTACGGTTTCATGTAAAACTCTACTCTAACCTTACATCCGTGAAACCACACATGATTCAAATGATGGAGAACAAGTATGGTTGGAGTATCCCTGTGTTGGCGCTTCATTGCTGCATTTTTGAGGAAGCTGTGACCCCTCCAGATCCATCCGCAGAAGATCCGCGACCTTCGGCTGCACGGTGGCGGGTGCCATGCTCCGAAAGATTCGCAGGGCAGATGGCCACCGTAACGGACCCTTGCAGGAGGACATGGCAACCTGGCGCAGCGAAGAACCACGGGGATAAACAACGAGAAATGGTGGAGGAATCAACAAAAATGGTGATGTTTGCCCAAAAAGAAGGGGGACTTCAACACCCTTGCAGTTTCTTAGCTTAAGCATCGATTATTGGGAGGATCAAGCCTTTGTAAAATTGCATCAATCTTCTTGGAGATTGACCAACTATCACTCAAACATGGAAATGGAGATTCACCGTTGATAGATGATTTTCCATTGACAGCCTATATCTATTTACACAGGGTTCTCAATTGCCATCTTTGATTATTCCAGAGGATAATCACACCAGTTCAGATCTCTCTGCTGACCAGCAGCGGTATAATCTGATGCAGCCATGGACATCTTTTGATCTCTTGCCATCTCGGTTTCAACGATCAGGCCTCGAGATGCAGGGCTGAAAAGCGGATGGCTTCAAACTCAAATAACCCAAATACATTCTATACAAATGCAACATCAACTAGATTAGCATGTGTATTTACCATGATCTACCCATATTGTCTGGGGAAAGAACCAATGGTAATTATATTGGATGATGATGGATGATGGTGCTCCCTCAATCGGATTGACCATGGCCATACTGGTCCACCAAATCCTTGGCCTTGCTGCCAATATCCCCATCTCGAATCGTGCTTCATAACCCCAATCATGGTACTTTGTGTATGGGTTGAAAACCCAACATGTTTTCCAACATAAATCCAACATTAACACAACTTTGACTGGTTGAAAATTGTGGGTCTATGGGTCTATTCATATTTTCCTTCACATTTCTTGGGGTCCAGTTCTGCTGTGTCCTCCATGCTTTCACCACGGCCAAGTCACCATTCACCAGCACTGCCCCGGTCTCAAGCGTCGGAAGCCATGACGCCGAGCCCAATGGCTATAAGGCGCAAACAATTGGCATTTCATGAGCAACCATGAAAATTCAATCGCACCATTCATTGACTTGTTTTTTTCTATCATGTTACAACATATACCATTTTCAATGGGTAAATCCACTATAAATCACCATTTTCAATAGCTATGTTAGTCATTACCAGAGGGTAGATTGTAAGGAACCCTCGTTTTTACCATCAAAAACTGCCGTAAACCCTTCCCTTTCATGCCTGGGCCAGTCCTAACACTTCCTGAGTGCTCCGAGGATCTCCGAGGCTCCGAGCCGGCCGAAAGCAATGCCTCCGGCGTGGTGAGCAAGCAATACCTCCAGCACAGTACCCTCTGGTAATGACTAACAGTTTGCTATTGAAAATCACCATTTATAGTGGATTTTCCCATTAAACATTGTGATTTTCCATAGTTATGTTAAATTACCGGAGGGTAATCCCGGGGATGGTGGAGTCCCATGTTTGGAATCGGAATTCACCCAATGTCAACGATCCCCAAGTCATCACCATAGAAGCATAGGTGGTAATTCTGTTTAACATCCCCAGATGGTAGGTTTATGGCATTGGGGTGCCTACACAAATGCTGGAGATTCTAGTGAAGAGATGCTTTGACCAAGGGCAGATGTTGAATGATCCAACCCATCCGTTTCCGGAAGGCAAGTGGTTGGCCGGATGTTTTCTTCATATAACGGTTACCCATCCGTTGCTTCATGCTACACCCCCGAAATTGAGCCGGGAAAAGCAAATTTGATCTGGTTGGTGGTTTCAACCCCTCTGAAAAATATCAGTCAGTTGGGATGATGACATTCCCAATATATGGCAAAATCAAAATGTTCCAAACCACCAACCAGTGATGATCTTCCAGCAACAAGACATCTTCCTAGCCGACTTTTCAAAGAGTCGGGGCGATTTCCATCGAACTGGGTTTTGTCACCTTGAGTTGCAACCCAAAATGTATATCATGTGGGCAACCCGATACCATAAACCTACCATTTGGGGATGGTACATATAGTGGCCATAGAAATGGTGATGACTTGGGGATGGTTTATGGCTGTTTACCACATCAGAGTGGCTAAACTACAATGGTATAATGCAGTATAACATATATGATAGACCAGTTATTAAATACACTTGTAAGCTCCATAGATATTCTAGTATTTGAATAATAATAATACACGTATGGAGCTCTACAATGGTATTTGTAAGCTACATAAGTTGGATTTTTCATAGCTACAGCTATGGTTTTCAAGGTCATCCCTTTTGTGCGCCGTGGTTACAAGACATAGCGCCGCTCCGCACTGCTCAGGCCACAGGCTTTGGCGCCGCGGAGCAACATGGGCCTGGTGTTTTCATGGAAAAAATGGAGGATTTCCATGGATTTTCATGGGATTTTGATGTTTGAAGAATTGAAAACTTGGGAATTCAACATGATTAAACGAAAGCTGTGGATTTCGTGATATTTCATGATCAACTTGAGGATTTGAGCAGCGATTTTGTTGGGGGTGAGCCGTCAAAAACTTGGCTTCAACCATCGAGTTTTTTGAAACTTGTACCCTCTGGTTATTTAACATAGAGCCTGAAAATCACCAATTTTTAATGGAAACTAGTCTTCCAACCCCTATCTGCCAGGGTCTATGCTAGTTTACCAGAGGGTATAACCAACCAAAGTCAAGATGCGTTTTGCTTCAGTAAGAAATACGGAGATTTTCACGATTTTCACCTGGCCAAATCCAAGTGGCAGCACAGCCGCGTTGGCATCATCGTGGATGCAATGAAGCCTCAAGATCAAAATTCAGAAGATGAAGACACGAAAGCACCTATACACATGTGATAAGTTGTGTATGGGAAATACCCCAATGATAAAAATATAGATATCGATACTACTGTAAGCACTCTAAGCACTCTAAGCCTGTATATCATAAGATAATTACATGTATGGGTTTGCCTCTTGTCTAAAAGTGGAGGATATGCTTCTAGCATAACCATTGAATAGTGCAGAACATGATCAACCATGGCATGGAATGTGGTTCCAAAAAATTGATGTTATCCCTTTTCACCACAGGTCACCCTTGCCAAAATGACCAATCAATTGCAGGATTTTGGGTTCCCGACATTTATAGAGAACCTCTATCAAAGACGGACAACAACACTTTCCCCTGTCTATCCCAAGTGCGGTTGCTAAATATCCCAAATTCTGGTGGCTTATCCTCCAATTGACCCTGAAGATAGAGCATTTTTAGTAGAAACAAATCTTCCAACCCAAAGTCATGGCAGGGTTGTCACGTTCACTGTATACCCAATGGTCTCCCGCAGAAGTTGCCATGCAAAGGCACAGGCGGTTGCTGGCCCAAGCCTTCAGCTCGGGCAAACCATACCTGAGCCACTTCGAATTGCGGAGAATGTGGTTATGGATCAATACCTATACATACCATTTTTAGTGGGATGAACATCCATTTACCAGCTATTTTGATGTTCACCAGGGGTACACGGTTTTGACACACTGCCATGTTGGTCCACGGGTGAACTCAAATCCAATGGTTGATCATCGGGATTTCATCTAATGAAGGCCGAGAACAGAATGATCCTTTTCAATCTTTCACTTTTCAAAAGGATCCTTGACCATGAGTTTGAGTGGGCTCTTTGCTCCTTCCAGCCCTTGTCAGCATTATTTCAAAACTTCAAAGCATCATCACTACCAATCCCCAAACTCAGACCAATTTCCACCATCAATTTGCACCCTGGACTGTCATATGGAATCCACCAAATTTCCATTTCCCACAGGACAATTTCTTTCCAAACCCACAGAATTGTCATCCAGTTTTCTGTTGATGACCCTTTCATTCAATTTTCAATGACACACCCCCAATTTTTCATGATACTGTACTGTCTGGTAATTTAACGTAGCTATTGAAAATTGCCATAGAAATAGTTGGCTTACCCATTAAAAATGATTGATTTTTCATGTTTTTTTGTATGTTTACCAGAGGGTAAAACCTATCATCCTTATTTTTGTTGATGACTCTTTCACTCAATTTTCCATTGCACATCCGGTTTTTCATCATAAGGCCTTCCATTTTTTCCCCAGCTTCTGCGTTTCCAGGTGCTGAACGCAAAAACTCAGCAATTGCCACAGTTCCCGGCCATCCATCGACACGTCGCTGACTGAACCCGACCTGGGAGGGACCAACAAAAGGTTTCGGGAAAGTTGGGAATAATAGATGGAATCTTTAATTTTCAATTATTATTGTGAATAAACAAATCAGACAACAATCAATTTCGAGTTGAAAACAGTGTCCGATGTCATCCAGTTTTAAATCGGATTTTCCGTTATAAACCAACCATTTTGATCCATGTTTTGGGTCCTTCCTGGAAGACACCCAGTTGTCTCCGAGCGACAGCAAGGCAAAGGCTTCCTGAAGCACCCGCGCACTGCGGCAGCAGTCGGGGGCCACCTGATCAGACAAATTGGAACATGAACCAACCAATGGTTTAGTGATGGTGGCTAAATAATGGTGGTTAATGATGATTAATGATGGTTAATGAGGGATAATGACGGTTAATGATCGTTCATGATGGTTGATGATCGTTCATGATGGTTGATGATCGTTCATGATGGTCCATGATGGTTAATGATGGTTCATGATGGTTCATGATGGTTGAGGATGGTTAATGATGGTTAATGGTGGTTACTGATGATTCATGATGGTTCATGATGGTTAATGGTGGTTAATGATTGTTGATGATGGGTAATGATGCTTAATGATGGTTAATGATGGTTAATAATGGTTCATGATGGTTCATGATGGTTAATGGTGGTTAATGGTGGTTAATGATGGTTAATAACAGTTAATGATGGTTAATGGTGGTTAATGATGCTTCATGATGGTTCATGGTGGTTAATGGTGGTTAATGATGGTTAATGATGATTAATGATGATTAATGATGGTTAATGAGGGATAATGACCGTTAATGATGGCTGATGATCGTTCATGATGGTTCATGATGGTTAATGATGGTTCATGATGGTTCATGATGGTTGAGGATGGTTAATGATGGTTAATGATGGTTAATGGTGGTTAATGATGATTCATGATGGTTAACGATGGTTAATGACCATATGCAAAACTGGTTGGTGGTATACCTACCCCGCTGAAAAACATGAATTAGTCAGTTGGGATTATGAATTTCCCAACTGGATGGAAACATAATCCAACTGTTCCAAACCACTAACCAGATAATGATGGCAAATTATGGCAAATTACGGTTACTGATCTTAAACAATGGCAACAATGGTTTGTAGTGGTCGCTATTTATAAGTAACCATCATTAACCATCATCAATCATTAACCATCATAAACCTATGGTTACTTATGGTTACTCATGGTTAACCGCTATCATGTGCGGAAACCCTTTGTGGCTGCCGTGGCTGTTGGGAATGGTGGGATACCAATGGCTCCGTCCTAACAGAAGTAGATGTGGTAAACCACCAAAAAAAATCCCGCAATTTGCCAGAAATGGGTTGTATATGGCGCGAATACTTGAAGATTATGGGGATATACAGTACAGGTACCGGGGATATGAAGCAATTTATGTCATATGAAAGCAACCATAAGAAGTGAGTACAGGAAGTGGCCCCGGAAACGTTACATTTATTGGAATTCAACCACCAAACATTTTGATTGAATCTGGAATTCAAGCACCAAACTTGTTGATTTAATCAACAACAATATATGATTTGCAGTTAATCTACGATTCGTAAGCGAATTGAAGCAAGAATATATGGATGGGTGGACGCAAACCATAACTTGGAGAACCCTTTCTGTATGGGTGCACGAAAGGATTTTTGTTGTTATTTGTGATAGCAGTTATAACTTCCGTTTTGCTGTTGTTGGTTTGCTTGCTCCATTATATGGGTATAAGTCACAATTATGACCACCTCCTATTAGAAGGACTAACATGACCTGTCGGGTCATTTGGCCTTGACACAAATTTTGACAACTAATCACATCTGAATATGCATGTATCGGCGTGTTCCAAAAAGCAAAAGTTGAAACTTGAATGGCGAAACGATGCTCAAACATTGTACGGAGAGCGACTGAACAGGCTTATTTGAGCCAATGATAACACCAGGAAGACATATGTCCAAAAGAAACAACATCAACACATCGCAATAATATCATGATATCATGGAGGTAAACCACCCAATTGTAAGCAAAAAATCATTGCAGCTATAAACGCTTCTTGCATATGTGTATAGAGACTAATATATAATTCCACATGATATAAGTGGGGTATTTCCTATTTATAGAACTGGATTCTAGCCATGGCCAGTATTGGACATGTCGAATTCAGATTACCAACATCCTACAGTACCAGAGTAACCATCCAGTTGGTTTACCCAGCCTTCAAGGTTTGAGGCTGTCGATCTGGCTGCGCCCTGCCCGCTGACTTTGAAACAAACAACTGGGAGATATGGAAGTGTAGTGGTGAAACCCAGAATCAGAAAAATCAGCACACATTATCCAATTGGTGGTTTCAACCCCCCTGAAACATATTAGTCGGATTGGATCATCATCCCAACTATTGGGGAAAATAAAAAATGTTCCAGACCACCAACCAGGTATGTATATATATATATATAATATATATATATATACTTGAGATGGTTGAATAAGGAACACTTGGGGATTGAACCAGCTAACGCGTGGGCTTTCCCCACAAGGTCTGTCTTAAAATGGATACACTGAATTTTCAATGTTTCGTCGTAAGTGGATAGTGGGAAAAGCACGATAAACCACGGGGGTTGGGGCGGCCTGGCACAATATTTTCAGACAAGCCATCCAACAAAGAGAAGGATACAACTTGGTACAGCCATCATGAAGTGATAACAACCACCCTCCTAAAAAAGGTGAATCCCCCATATTGGCTGATTAACAAGCCTTAACTCCTGGCTGAAGCGCTGGGAAAGCTGCAGCAATGAGCTTCGACAGCTAAACCCTGGCGTCTGGAAAGAACATGGCATCCGGGCATCCGAGGATGGAAATTTGGGGATGCATCCAAACCTCTTGGGGGATAAACATCCGCAACTGGTTGGTGCTTGAGCCCTACCCCTCTGAAAAATATGAGTTAGTCAGTTGGGATGATCAAATTCCCAATATAGGGAAAATAAAATTCATGTTCCAAACCACCAACCAGATAAACATCCATTTTGGGGAGAGCAGAAGGATACCAGGGTTTTGCCTCCCCATTTTTCAGTTGACACAAAAACTTGTAGTAAGCGTATGAACATTTCCATATTTGCTGATGAAATCATGGTCATTTTTGTTGCAAAAATTCACATCATGTCGCATCCCAAGCTTTTGGTACTTCAACCTTGGTATTTGCTGGTTGGCTCCCAATTTTGTTGCTTGACACATCTTATTTGTTGCTTCGATTCGCATTTACTTCACATCTACTTAGGTTTGTAAAAAAAAACATTGGGTTCATAGGTCATCTATACCGCAACCTTGCCTTTATGAGCAAGTTGTTGCGCCAATCACTAGGAAGGCCCCCTCCAGGTATGTTTGTCAGTTTATGTTACCTCATCTAACTACAATGATATTCATCACCGCCAGTCCATCCGCTACCCTGGTCATTGCAGCCAGCTTAGCTTATGGACAGCCATCTTGTAGCTGGATTGATAGCTATCACCATACTATCCTTACATCACGATTTTTGCTGCTAAATTACCCATAATGCTAGCTGCAGTAGGTTCATTTGATTCTATTCAACCACATTAACCATGATTAAACCTCACCAAAACCATTGAAACCAATGAATCCCACATTTTTGACTGTGTTTCTTTCTTCTCCTCTCCCACTGTTTCCGACTGAGACAATGAGGCCCCCGGCTCACCACTTTGCCCTGCACTTCATCCTGCGGCCAGCACGCCACCAGCTACATTGGTGGAACAGTTCCAACTATATAGGAACCCCAAGTCATAGCAGCAATAATTTAGATATTATATATAATCCTGGTTTCGCACTCTTCTTGGCAATTGTGCATTTTTTTTGCTGGGTTACTGTAAATGTATAGATAATTTTTGACCAACCAAGCAACCAACACGTGAGTATGGGGCAAGCTTGGGTCAGAATGTGTGGATGCAGCTAAAGACAACTACAAGTAATTACAAGCAAGCAAATGGGGATTCAAACCACCAACTGTAGTACAAAGACTATTTACCCTCTAGTAATGACTAACAGTTTGCTATTGAAAATTGCCATAGAAATAGTGGATTTACCCATTGAAAACGGCGATTTTCCATAGTTATGTAAACGTTTAACCAGAGGGTAAGACATGTTAAGAATAATACAGCTTGTGCAGCAACGCTGAGAAGCAGAACACAGGCACAAACCGTAATCCAAGCCAAAGCAAAGTTCGTCAGTGTCGCTTCCTTCGCTTCCGTTGGCTCCACAGCATCCGACACGTCGGAAAACAGTTCCCCATCATTTTGGGTTTGCACAACACCTTCAGGTGGAAGAAAATCAGGGAACCAAGACGTGGATTGACCTCCTTTCGGGAATCTTCAATCGGGCAGGTTCCTTTCCTCCCAGGTGTCCCAAGTGGTGCCATACGTCTGTCCTGTCCAGCCCGGAGATACGAGCCAAAAAACCCGACAGTCGCATTTGCCGGGGATATCCCAATTGCTGAGCAACTTTTCGGAAACCATGGATTGCCTACGGTCTCTTCTGGCATCCAAGCATCTCATTTTTTCGGACACTGTACAGCATTTTGTGCAATACCAAAATTACTGACCGAACAAACAAATCATGGGGACAAGAAACAAACGAAGAAAGCACACACAGCAAAGTCCACTGTGATGTTTCAAAAAAACACCACAGATGCAAGCAACGAAGCTTGGGGGCTGCTGTACTCCTCAGAGTTTGGACTTCGAAAAAACGACCAGAAGGCCTGGAGTTGGTCATTGGGTTTCCACCAGTAGTTGATGAACTCTTCGGTTTTGCTGGTTTCAATTTCCTTTATTCTATATGTATACATGTATGTATACATGTATGTATATATATATATATTCATTCATTTCTTTTCTGATGGGTGTTTCACCAAGTTGACACATCACCGCAGTTTCACCCACTTAGATGGGCCATGGAGTTAGTCACAGAAAGATCAACAAGGCATACGTTTCGGCATCTCTCTGGGTAGATTGCCATATCCCACTTAGTACATGGGCTATATCCCCAGTTATGTAAGTAATGTTATATATATGAGCAATCGGCAAAACCTCAATTGAAAAATGCGATCTCGGGTCAAAGTTATCGTTTTTGGGACTTCACTATATCGTTTTACAGTAAATCCTGATTGCATCATTTGCATCCCCTGGCAAACTGCGTGCGGAAAGCCTTTTTACACCCCCACTTCAGCGTCTGAAGCATCTTTGGCTGCCCCGCGCTTTCTTTTGCAGCGCTCCAACTGTATGGTATGGTAGCATTCACTCCCCAGCGTCTGGGTAGCAAACCATCAACATGGTCCAATGCTTTTGCCTTGGCTATCTTCATCTAGGAGAAAGATCGCCAAACCGGACCTGCAGGTGCAGGTGTGCCGGTGTGCCCGAGATGAGCCAGGATTGACTAAAGCAACGGAGCGTCGCAAAAAAAAAGAATATGCATAGCAGCGAAAAGATCGCAATAAGCAAGTGATAATATTCAACGGCAAAGAATCATCTCAAGAATCTTTTCGCATCTGGGCCATCCATCAGCGAAGGACATTTTGTCAAGAAAAGGTTATCGTTTAGTTATTGTTTTCGTTATCGTTCAAAGAGGGAAACATTTTTGGAAAATGGCATGAACCAAGGAATGTTGGAAAGGAGGCCTGTTGTCATCGTCAATGCTTGCATGAAAGCGGGAAGATACAAAACGCTCATCCGGAAGGCTTGAACAATGGCGAGACAAAAAGAGCATCCAAATCCAGCTAATTAGTTACCACATACTGTAGCAATACGTGCTTGGATACAAAACTGTTTGCAATAATCAGAAAAAAAGAAATTGGCCAGGATCAAGAGTGTCAGCATACTTGTGCACATCTTCCGTTGTGTGAGCTGGTCATGACGTATACCCCACAACTGAGAGCCTAGATGATCTAGATGCTTCTAGAACAGGTATCCACCATCATGTCATGTACACCACCCCTTCACTTCCCACAATGCTTTTACATATGATATGATTCCCACGTTATAGTTTTTGGGACTTCACTATATCGTTTTACATATCAAGATGTATATTTTTACATGAAAGATCGCTCGAATACATACCTCCTACACGGAGAGTTTAGCCTCTTGCTCATATATATATATATATACACATATGGATAATATTGGATAATTATGGCTGGTTGGTGGTTTTAACCATCTTCAAACATATTAGTCAATGGGAAGGATGACATCCCATATATGAAATGGAAAATACAAATCATGTTCCAAACCACCAATCCGATGGATACATATGGGCTATTCATGGGTCATTAAATGTCCCCATTTTTCACATCACCCAACCATGAATGGTATTTCTGGTCTTTTTTATGGCTATTTTTTCAGGTGATGTCCAATATACCAAAATGGGACAGTTACCAACCCCTGCATATGGGCTATATATGGGCCATATCCCCAGTGATCCGTCGCAGCGGCGCCTCCACCTCCAGGGTGACCTCCTCGCCCGCGGTGTCGGGCGCCGGGACTTCGACCGCTGCGGGGCGCGACGGTTTGGGGCCGCGGGAGAGGAGGTGTTTGGCCTTGGTGACGGTGAGATATCGGGGGATATGAACAACTGGCACTAGCGATTTGGGCCAAATATATCACAATAAACATGAAAAAATCTGTAGGCCCATTCACTGTCAAAATATATCACAATTGAATGGGGATATATACAAAATATCTGGGCCCGTATTCTGTAGGTATAGAAATGCCCAAATATATCACAATATGTTGAAACAACTCTAGACTTGAATGCGAAAAAGATGGAGTTTCCCTTGAATCAGTCCAGTGAGGTAGAAAAATCTGGCTGTTGGCTCAAGCACTGTCGACATGGGTGGCCCTTCTTATCCTGGGCATCTAATGGGATGGGTCAAAATTATCACCCGACATGACCCATACCCATATCCCGTTTGAACATGATATTTTTTTACCATAACATTTGCAGTATGGATCTCTATCTTATCTTCTCTTCAACCACCATTAGCCACCAGTGACCATAAAACCTACAGTATGAAGTTTGATCCCTACCCCATCCGAGCGGCCAGGATGGACATGGGCGTTTGGCCACTGCTGTCCTTCTGAGCCTCAGCGTACGAGGCTACTGGATGTGCAGAACCAGAAGATCCCGAGAAAAGCACATGTGGCTTCGTTATCGGTTATAAAGCCAGTTATGGGCTATTGCCCAACTGTGGATATTTGAATATATTGGAATATAATATTAATATTAATATAATATATATATATATAATATGGGAATATGCAGTGAAAGTTAGATTCATGGGTCAGATGAATGGGTCATAGTCAAGTCGCTGGTTATTCCCACAAAAGGGGTGCGTATACCGCATTTGCCTGACAGAAATTCTACCCACACCCGTCTTCAACAATTAGACTGCAACATGTTATCCGTTGAACCTTAATAGAAAAAATGCGTCCGTGAAAATCCCAACCAATTCCTTCTTCTTCATCTTCTTCTGGAGCTTTGATATAAGAGTCGGACAGTGCTCAACGCGAAACACATGAATTCATGCCGCACTGCTCCAGAAAGAAGCGCTTGGCACGCCTTTTTCGTCCTCAATGGGCACTTGCGCAGCCAAGCCCTGCTGCAGCGCATCGTCCTGGTGCTGCTCTGGCAGCTGCGGGGGCCAGGGCGGCCACGGCGCAGGGCTGGGGGCGAAGTGCCAGGAGGGGCAGCCGCTGAGGCGACGTGCCAACCTGAGATGATGGGAATTTTCATGGGTTTCATAAGATCTTTATGGCACATTTGGGGAGTTTCATGGAAGTTCTAGGGGATTTTAGAGATTTTACTATTGGGGGAAGGATGTGATTAGGAAGCACGGGAGTAACATCCAATCACACCAGTCACATGAGAAGCGGTTGAAACTATGTGAGAACTTAATGGAATTGAATGAGAAACAATGGTGATGGAACGATGAGGTAGAAATGGAGGGTTTGCCCTAGGGTTCTACAATCAAACTGAGATGGGACCAATGACCAAGGTGGCAGGTGCACTGAAAACTATCAGCCAGGTATATATCCTGTGCTGAGGGGAGCTTCTCAGGTACATAATTTGGAGGCACCGAATCTACAAAAGCTCCGCACAAGGCCAAATCTTCGGATATTTGATCACAATAAATTTGGGATACAATATGCACCATTTTCTGCTACATCCATTTTTTTGGCGCAGTACCTGAATGGGCCATCGAAACCAAAGAAAACATTCCAAGCAAATGCACCAAGTGCAACAAATCAATTCTATCATGGAATATCACCACACACACATACATACATACATTACATTACATTACATTACATTACATTACATTACATTACATTACATACATACATATATATATATATATAAATATGCACATGATTGTGTATTGATATATCTGGGTTACAGATGGGCTATTCACATATCCAACAATAATAATAATGTGTATTATAATATATATGTTATTTTGATGGGTTATTACCCAGGTGAAGACCCACACATCGAAACATCGGTTTTCGCCAAAAACTTCGGAGGCACCACCAGAAAGGCTTCTCGAAGTTTTGCCAGGTCTTGACGCCTCAACTGTGAGCTGGGCACCCCCAGTGATCAGTTGGGATATATCTAAAATATAAGTAGCTCAACTGTTGGGTTAATGGTGGATATATCTAAATATCTATAGTTGGATATGAAGATTTCCTAAAATGGTGGTAACCCCAGTTCTCTTCCATTTATAGATCGGATTTTCCAATCATAAACCGTCTATAAATGATGACTGGTGGTACCCCCTAAAGGATGATAACTGGGTTTATAATGGAAAATCCGATCATAAACCAATCTATTTTTGGGTATCCCAATTGAGGAACCCCCATTAAATATATATGTATAGGCACGCTGTGTGCAATCTTATATATATATATGTATGTATATGAAAATGACTTTATGTGACTTGATTAATCGTTAGTACAGGTTACATATGTAGTGACTGGTGTTGTGTATTTCTGCTTTTCTGTGTACCTCGCTGAATTATACGAATTCACCAACATCAAGGAGTGCGGGTACTTCATATTCATTCAAGAGTATGACTTGAAATTGAATGAGGACGAGAAAACACATCCAGTCTTGTGGTATGAATTCCCAGCTTCTCCAAGTAATTGGAATGAGGATGTCTCCGACACTGAAGGTACTTCAGAAACGTCAGTACCTTCAGTAAATTAACAAAACAATACGTAAACCCATGATTTCGGGAGGAACAAATCATCTATAAATGGTGGGCTTTCTATATCTAAGTCTACATCACGGGAGGGAATTTCCACGAATTTCAAGGAATTTACGGGCAAAAAAGAGACAGACCCTGAAATGGTACGTACTTGATTGGGATCGAATCGAACGATTCGTTCACGATTCGCACCACCTTTGTGGGCTACACTGCGCCAAACTTTGGGAAACCACCAAATGGAATGGGGGTATCCAAAATAGTTGGTTTATTTCATGGAAAATCCGATGATTTGGGGGTACCCCTATTTTAGGAAACCCCCAGATCCTGAAAGAAATCATCCAAGCGTTGCTACCTTCTACCGTCGGCTGTTGGTCTGGGTTTGTGTTAAGCAGCGATATTCATAGAATTTCCATGACATTCCCAATGGAGGAGCAATTGCTGATTCACATCAGTTTTCACCATGCGCAGGGATCTCTCTAGAAATTCAATACCTAGCCCTGAGAGAACAGGTTGGTTACATGCTTGGAGGTGAAATTCCAGTTATAGATATATTGTATAACCATAGTCACAGGTGATCCCAACTTAAAGTGGTTATTACCATGCTTATATCTATCAACCCCAAGTGCACCCCCAAGTATCATTTTTTTGGCATTTTCCGCTGTATCTAACCAGTTTTAGGCCGTTCAGCACCCTCCTTTGGGGTTGACCCAAGTAGTAGCTGAGACGCTGAGTTGATAGCTCTGAAGCTTCTCTTTCCTCTGGCACGCCTCTCCTAAGATGGCATGAAGCCTGCTTTGGTGCGGTTTCAAGTGGTTTGTAAATGATTTGCAACTGGGCCAGAATCAAATATGGCTGGCTGAAAACTCAGATGCAACCGGGTTGTAACACTGAGGTTGTAACCCCATCTACTTCCCTTACCTATTCCCTATCTCACATCTCCAAGCGTCGTGCTTTCTTCGCTTGGGGCAATAAGGGCACGTCACATTTGTTGAAACCCAGCACGCAGGGGATGATGCCACAGTGACTCTTCACATTCCGGATGCAACTGGGTCAATGGGTTGGCGGAAGGGAAAGTCGTCTACAGTAAACCGTGGTACGTTGCGGGTTCGTGAACATCATCCCAAAAATCAGTTCTGGGTTGGTGTGCGTTTTCAACTGGTTGAATTTCATATGCCAGACAAAAAAAGGAACATCTATCGATATCTTAAAAATTATCAGTTAGACTCTTCGGAGATTTTGCTGTGCTAAACAGATGGTGCTATTTCCATTTTGCAGCATGTCTCTAACTAGTTTCTTGGTTGGCTCAAAGGTCCCAAACACGAACATGTGGCTATTAGTCAAAACCCTCATACCCTAGGTACCCTAAAATAGCCTGTAGAGCTGGATGGTTCTTCCCCCAGTATGGTAATTTCATAGGTAACTTGACCCATCCCAATATTTTCCCAGGCAACTCATTGGTCGCTTTCGGCGCCTGGTGGAGCGGTTCTGTGATTTCTATGTGTTGCCAATTGGGTCATGGGAGAATTGACTCCCAGTCATGGTTGGTGCCAAATGCGGCCAAATCCCCATGTTGGTTGGTTCAATTTCTTGTACCTTCCATATTTCCCCTGCTTCGTACATATTCCTCTTTGTAGCAAAACTCAAAGGGTCAGACTACCCATCCAACCTCGACCCAAATTATCAAGGGTTAAATCCCAATGAATTATTTGGTTGCATCCTATGGGCAGTAATGATAGAAAAACAACTGGTTTTTCATGTTTGAATCGCCATTTTTCCAAGTTTCATAGATTTTCTGTGTTCAAATCCCCATTTTGTTCCTTGATCTCCACAGGTTGTCGCGGGAGACTTTACCGCTTTGTCCCGCCTGGGAAGTGCGCGTTGCGAGGCGCGCGAGCCATCGCAGAGGAGGATGGCACCAGAGGCTTGGCGGAAAGAGGAATCCTCGGTGAAGTGGAGGACTATACAATCACCACTATACATCTACTATACAAGTAGTGGTGAATAGATTAATGACTATTCATGTTAGTGTTCATGATTAATCTATTGTAGAATTAGAATAGAAGATCAACACACGTAGATTAACTTTTGAAAATATTTTTGTTCAAAATAAACCGCATAATCGTGAGTATTCATTATAACAACCCCCTCAAAATAGAGGATGCAAATCATTAATACACTCATGTAACATCAAGTACCATCATGTACCATCACGTACCTTCATGTATCATCATGTGCCATCGTGTACAATCATGTACCGCCATGCACCATCATTGCCATTATGCACCATCATGTGCCATCACGTACCATCGTGTACTATCATGAACCATCATGATAATCACGGTCACCACCACCACCATCATCATAATCAGAATCACCGAAGCAACAAAAACATCAAAACCATCATTAACATCACTCACATCAGTTATCAAAAAGAAATGAACATCATCATCACCTTCATCATCATCATCATCATCACCATCATCATCATCACCTTCATCATCATCATCATCATCATCATCATAATCATCATCATCGCCACCATCATCAGTGCACAATCGTCATCGTCATCGTTATTTTCATCATCATCATCATCATCATCTTCACAATTATTGTCAATATCATCAATATCATCATCATCATCATCATCGTCGTCGCCATCGTCATCGTCACCATCATCACCATCATCACCATCATCATCATCATCATCGCCATCATCATCATCATCGCCATCACGATTGTCACCGTCGTCACAATCGTCACCATCGTCACCATGGTCATCATCACTGTCATCATCACCATCATCATCATCACCATCATCACCATCACCATCACCATCATTATCATCATCATCATCATCACCATCACCATCATCATCACCATCATCATCATTCTTCGCCCAGGGTCATGGCTTGAAGCTCTCAAACTGGTTGTTGTTGGGAAAGACCATCATACAACCACATGTCATTAAATTCATGTATCTTGCAAAAGATTGTAAAATTTCACCGTGCAACTGTGCAACTCAAACGCTGTGACATGAGGCAACCTCGACTCAGATTCCCAACACAAAGTGCATGCTCTGTTGAAAAACAGCTAGCCATCAACCCACTGACCGACCATTCATCAGGGCCCCACCATTCATCAGTCCGTTTACCCTGGTGAAAGCTTCTCTGGAAGCAAATAAGGCCAAGTTTCCGGGGAATCAGGAGTCAACTCCCAAACCTTGTGCTGTTGCCAAAAGAAGGCGGCCAGCTTCATCCAAAATTGGAGGCGATTAGCCAATTGTCATGAAAGAAGTGTGGAGGTTGCCAGTTTTCAATTTCAATGGCAGTAAATCTATATCTATATCTATGTCTATATCCTTTTATTTATCTGTACACACACACATATATATATATATACACATTTAAACCATTAGCGATCCATCTCGGTCTTTAAACCTGGAGGCATTGAAACGTATATCTCCGCAGTTAGAGCTGAACTGCAGCGACACGACGTCATCCTCAGCTGCATGAGTAGGGCCAGGGTACTCAAGCTGGGGTCCCCAAACCTGCCAGTTGAGGTCAAAGTTCACAGGTTTCTAATTCCGACCTATAGAAATCCACCAAACAGATGCAGAAAAGCTGAAACTTACTATGTATTGGTCCAAGACCCATCTCCAGGATACGGTCTCATTATCGACCCTGGTCTTTACCCTTAGCTACTGGATAGCGTCTTGAAGGTGATTGGATACATCCCTGCGTGACCACTCTTTGTGAGCTAAACATCCTAGAAGAACGAACTCTCATGTGTAAAATATCTGGATAAGCATATCATCCCAGATCCGAAATCAAAATCTCTAGTGTACACCACTGTGATCACATACACGAATATGTATCTGATTTCATCGCGAACAAAAAATAACCAACAATGTTTGATCACCAAAGGGTACCCCCACCTTTCTTAAGGCACCGCGTCCCAACAGCTTGGTTCCCAGCATCCCAGCGCTTCGTTTGCGTCAAGAATTCACCTGTCAGATGCCGCTGCAGCAGCGAGGTCTTCCCTACACCGCGAGGGCCCACGAGGAGCACCTTGAACTCGGGACATCCTGAGATGTGCCAAGTTTCAGATGGGTGGTGTAGATTTTAGTTGGATACTTACAATAAAGTTCTAGGCTCACCCAGATAATTTACAGTTGTGCTATGATGTGCTTGTTACCAACCAAATGGTGAAAACATGTAGCGTCATAGGTATACTCGTGATGGGGTTGTCGAAGGGGCAGCCTGCAGCCATGTTCATACATCTTCTGATCATCCTGGTGTTCGGATCCTACTATATAAACTGTTGGGTGTTAAGCTGCAAAAATAGTGAGCTACAAGACCAGCGATAGGCTTGAGATTGGCAAGACCAGGAAAATGTCTCATGGAAATACTGTGAGATGAACTTGTCTGATTGGGTAGGTGGCACAAGAATTGTACATTGTACATAAATGTAGGAGTGTGCGGAGTGTGGGATGAAGAGATTCATTCGGTCACAAGACATATCTTACACTTTATAGACATGTTCCTCGCAGATTGTCCCACTAGCTGCGAAACCATCAGGCCAACCCATCTTGCTGGCTAGATCCACGTGGCTACATTCCGAATTTGAATGGCTGCATCTCCGTTTGTGCTGGCTACATCCGAAAATATGAAAGCTTTTGCTATCTAACATAGGAAAATTTGATAGCTATGACTATTGTTGGTTGCTTCCCCCAAAATGGGGTTCCACTACCGAGATTTAGCATGTTCGCATACGAAGCCATCCATGTTGATATACTGTTCAGCCATGGCCAGTTGGTTCCAACATGCCAAAGTGTTGCTACTTGCAAACAACGTCTCTTCTTTGGTTGGTGAATGTCTGTTTTTCCATCATTTATGTACTGGCTAATGGCACACGAATCGCCAATTCATTTACCATTCACCAAACTTACTCGATGTTTTACGATCTAATCTGTTCGCTGCAAAATAAACAAACTTTTGTTGCTTCATCCCCTATCAGCCCATAGGACCCCCATGTGGCAACCCAATAATGTACACACTATTTTGGGGATTTGTTTTATGTAACCGCAAATCGTACATTGGGCATGGTTTACGGACTTGGGTATCCTAACAATATCCAAAATCAAAAATTGGTACTATATAGTGATTGTTAAATTGTCTAAAACACCCATGCTGTAATGCTTACAAATAACCAATCCTTCTATTCCAGCAGTTGGTACAATTGCCACCTAAATTCATGTTTTGGCTATACCGACTTGTACAATACCACATCATTTCTTGACTTCGCCACGTCATACAATTCCCCTGCTGAGACTCTGCCAAGTGTCCTGCCGGCACCTGCTTCGGCAGCTGCGGGACATGGGGGCTTTTTTCGGCAAGGAGTTCGACGAAGGTGTCATTGTCGAAACGGTCCCACTTGGCCTCTGGGGGGATGATTTCTTACCATCCGTAATCTAATGTAGACCCGGAGAATTCTTGGGATTTAGAGCACAGTAGTCTTCCAAACTCATTGCGTGGCAGGGTCTATTTATTTGGTGGTAAAGTTGAGATAACCAGCAGAAGAAGAAATACTTCAATGGATTCAAATATAGATACTTGTTCTCTAATTAACAGAAATTGACGATCTCAAATCTTGGATTACACCAGAAGGAAGTGAGGGAATTATTTGTATCAGAAGATTGGCGGGAAACCATGCAGGCTTTTACCAGCTGCCACTTCTAGGATAGCCGTAACTTCCGTTCGATCATCCAAGCAAAGAATGAGGGGTGCAGTAGAACCTTCCACATGGATCTACATGGCATAGAAAAAACCAAAAACCAGTGGAGATGTCCCTGTGGAGAGCCATGCGATACCATGCCACAACCCTTTCGTTTTTCAGTGAATTATATGGGTGGCAAACAACTCGCCATTCCCAAATACACAGGCACAAGGGGTGGACATGTTAGATAGATGTTAGATAGTAGAAAAAAATTACCAATGCCCCCTTCTTGTGGCTAGAACCTACCTACATCTACCTATAACCTTTTGGAGCAACCCTGTCCGTGTCTCCAGCCACACGTGCTTAAGGTCACCCCGGCCTGAAAATCATCAAATGCAGCCCGGCCCTTGACACCGACGTTCCCACTGGTCCCGTTGGTCGCCGTCACGTCCAGCTTGGTGGGGCCCAGCACGGCGCTGCCCACAGCGCTCTTGGGGCGATTGTGGTAGTAGCCTTGGTGCGGCGTGGGCGGCCGCGATGAAGATATGAAGTGTTGATATACCAACCACATGGCGTTTCTTGTTTTGACGGGGTTGATTTGCACCAAAACATTTATTTTTTCATCTTGAAATTTGTTGAACAAGGCTCCAAATATCGAAATTGTCAGTTGCATGGGTAGTTGTTTATGCATCAATGATATTGTCACTGACATGCTGAACCTGCTTCATGGATTGCAATCTTTACACTGAAACCAACTGCTTCGGTGCCCAAGCACTTTGCATCATCGCTTGGAACAGTGGGGTGAGAAACTTTGGTGCCCCCACAACCACAAGCATCACCAATGCATAGAATGGCCGATATGGCCTACTTTTGTATCTGAGCAACGCAATGATTGAAATTCTTTGAATTTTTGCCAGAAACAACATCGCATCTTTGCTATCCCCGCAAGAATGGCAAAGTTCCCCAGCCCAACCTGCTGAGACAGTTGCGGGCTACTCTGATTTCAAGTTGGCTCTGCAAATGCAGTAAATCCCTTCGTGCGCGTTTGCAAGCGTCTACTAGTCACTAGTCTAGTGCATAGATATGCCGCAACAAGAAGAGGTGAAAAACAATCCCCAACTCGTTTAGGATGTCTTAGAGTTTGATACCATGAGTGAATGCTTTGAAATGGCCGGGTAGAACCACCTCTGCCATCATAGACATAGATCAGTCTTCTTACTGATCTAATGCTAGCCATATCATGGCACAACTGCCCGCATTTCCCAAGACCTTCCAATTCCGGCCTTCCAGGTTCGACTGGGTCAAAACCATCCCCACATATATCTGGGATACGCTCCATGGCATGGGTTGTATGAATAGGTTCGAAATCCAGAAAAATGTGGGTATGACAGCAAAGAATATGTACAACTGGGGTATACTATGGGTTTGAACCATTCACTTGAATATGGCTTATATATGGGTTCTAAACCCACATTACAAAAAATATTAGAACCAAGAATGTGTAATATTTCAACCATTCGTGGGATGCACCCCCGGTTCCCGCCACTTTCGATGCCCCACCACCTTTGGAGGCCACTTCACGGAGAATCGCCAGGTCTTCTTCGTCCAGATCCTCCTCATCCAAGCGCACCACGCTCATCGGGCCGGTGCCACGCGCGTTGTGGGATTGCAGCGCCAAATTGCGCAATTTATGGTGTCAATGTGGGACTTTTAGGGGCTAAAATGCAGATTTGTAACATAAATGCTGGAAACGTGGAGACTTGAGGAAATATAAAAAATACATAACGCGCACACACACACATATATATAATATTTATGTATATGACGCACCAAGAAATGCTGACTTCTAACGTCAGCACTGCAATGCAGTAACACTCACACTGCTAAATTGGCTTTTTGTATTGGAGTTGTTTTTTGTGTTTGAACATTGGGTATGCCCCCTTTTTGTTTGCAACGGAAGCTCATGGTGATCGTTTAGGTTTAGGGGATATCCACGTTTCAGACGAACCCAGCAACTACTTAAGTGGACAGCTTCAAGCAACGGACTAGCAAAATATGTGCATGCTTGTTTCGTGGAACCTGTAGGTCTTCATTTTGTCCATGGGTTCTTGAAACGTGATAGCTTGTCGGGTCCTCCGGTGATGTACCCGCTTCAGGGTTTACTCAATCCATTGAGCCGTTAACAGCGTGGGGTAGGTTTCACGACGCTAATTCTGTTTGTTGGGCTTGACGTTGATGCTGCGATACAAATGTTTATCTACCAGAGTGGATCCATGGCAAATTGAATTTCAACCCTTCATTCATTCCGAGTTAAACTCATACAGGCAATTTTCTCTTTAAAAATGCATGCCACGGCTATTTTGGAAACCAAGAGCCAGATGGCTGCAGATTGTGCGCCACAGTTGGGTTAGCCTTAGGATCCAAACAGTGTTTTGGAGGAGAGCTAGCTATTTATACTGGTCCCTTGTCAACATACAAGCAAACGATCAGAATGGTCCACCTTCAAATGTTGACCCGCTTGCGTGCACAATTGGTGGGTTTGGTTCCACACCTATTTGAACATGCATCACAGGAATTCCATGCATCCCAGGTATTTGACGTTACAAATATTTCTATTTGGGGAAAGAATCGCTTGGAACTAGACAAGCTACACAACATGATTGACCGATGGTTGCAAGTACATGGAGCCGAAGTCAATAGAAATTAGCCAATCCACTCATGAAACTGTTTCTTTCATTCATTGCGAGCTTCTGCTAGTGAATTTCTTTTCAGCACTGGCTAGATTGTTTCAGTCACCACTGGGCCAACCGAAAGATAAGAACCATCAATAGTTAACCATTGTGAACCAATAGATATTCATCTAACCTTCCAACCTAGTGTTACTCCTCCCATTCATCACCGCGTGAGCAAATCACATTTTGACCGATCACCCACGACGACCAAGGCACAAAGAGCGGAGCCAGCTGTGGGCATTCTGAGACAGCCTGCGCCTAGGGACGCTGGATGGTTTATACGGTGTTTCTAATGGTTTGTAATTTCGATAAATACAAATTTTGGAAGGTTTATTCGGTTTATTCTTTAAAACGGTGCATAATGGTGTAAGGATCTCTATGGTCGTACCAACCGGGTACCTCCCCAAGCTCGGCACCTTCATACCTTCGTGCCCATCCCATCGTCCTCATCAGTTCCCACTCTGGTCTCTCATGGAGGCATGCCGTCACATATGGTTCTGAATCCAGAACCCAATCTACGACCTCTTTCCATTTGTCGAGAGGGCAATCCATTATCAGACCACCGCACAGCCAACTACCCACCAAAAGCCGGACATACTTCTTCGTCCAGCATACGTACACCTGCCTCAGAAACCTTCCCTCATTCCATTACTCGTTACCCTGATGGTGATACTACACATCCAAACTGTGAGGGCTATTGCGTTAACTGGGATGGCCCCCGGAATCGTGAGGGATATCCAACAAAAAAAACATTTTTTCAGGTCAAATACGAATACAAGCAGCATGTGTTTCATCTACGTAACAGAGATGGCACAATTAATCCTTCATCACTCACCACAAATTTGGATAACGCTGCCAAAAGTTGATGTAACCAACAAGGATTTGACTCTCAGAACCTAGTTTTGTAGGACTGTGGCCAACAGTTCTGAGGATGAGACCTCTCAACAATTGATATTGACTACATCCTGATGCAACCCACCTCAATGATCCAAACCAGGGCCCCTAGGAAGTCATGTAGGTCCCTTACAATCATCCTCCCATGTTGTATGGAAAATAGACATGATTGAACCACAACCAGGTTATGTATATGACGATACAGTGTTGTGGTTGTGATATATCCCGTTTTTTACAAGCTGATCCTCCAGGTTCTAGAGGTGAATTTTCAATTTCAACATGTCAATCCATCAGACAATTTCACAGCTGGACTTGGTCCGGCTTGGGGGTCCACACCAGGATTCGGCAGTTTAATCTGCCAGCTGCGCAATGCAAGAAACTTTGACCTCCGGTCTTGGTGGTTTTTACAGGACCCAAGAGTTGAACAGATAATCTATATCTATTTTGCGACACCATCACTGGCCCCACACATCGCACTATTTTCGTGGTCATACTCTCATGTCTCCTGGTGTCTGGGTCTATGTCCAGCCCCAAAGTTGGCATTTTTTCGAATTTTCTAGTCTATTCACTTTAGGCCACATGGCGAACCCAAAGCCAAACCCTTTTTGGTATTCAATACATTACAATACCTCAAATGGTAAAATTGTTTGAAGGGGGTTGGTTTGTTCATCTTAATTCATTTCCCAATTTTACCCATCCCGGTGAAACCGAGCTTCGTAGCCCGTTTCCTAAACTTTGCATCAATTCCCCACCTTAGGTCATTGAAAGTTTTTCCCTTTTTTGCCCATTTGCTGATCTTTCCGGAATGCTTTTGAGCATCTCCCATTCCCAAAGCATGAAATCTAAGAATGGTTGTTCACACAAATCTTAGGTTTTCAGCCTGCATTATTTCTGAAAGAATGGCGCTCCCAAACCTGAAGGGATGTTCAATGTTAGTGATGTTCAATGTTCATTTTTCCTACCAAATTGCAAATGGATGTCGCGCTCCCATTTTCAGACAAACCGACATCCCTTACTATATCCCTTTGTATCACCATTGACCCTAGGTAAACCCCATCTTTGATGGTCGACAGACACTATTCATCTTAGGCCACTTCCCCGTTCTTCCCCATTGCATTGGTCAGCTCATGCCCACGAATCATCGTCCCCTAAACCCGCAGGCGTCCCGGCCTGCATCGTTGCAATGGCCTTGCCGGCCCATGTAGAGTGACATCGGGTATCAATTGTAATTCTTTTCTAAAGGTTTACCGCAGGAACCACCTTTTCAATTGACAATATTGGAAAGTCACAATTTGATGTTTTCTGGGCTGAAATTTGGATGCACCCATTAAATATGAACATTGACTGTGAGTCAAAATTGCGTATGGAACGTTTCGCGGTGTTCCGGACGTATGGAACGAAGGGGCTTCGTAAGTGGTCTTGTTCCGGACCTTTTGACTGTGATGAAATATAGGCTATACATCAATAAGAAACAAACAAACAAATAAATAATCAAAACTACATGAACGAATAAACAAATAAAAAAATAAAAACATAAATAAAAAAATAATAATCAAAACTACATGAACGAATAAGCAAATAAATAAATATGAATTTAAATGTAAATATAAATATAAAAATAAATATAAATAAATAAATATAAATAAAAAAATATAAATAAATAAAATAAATATATATAATGTACGCTGTATATATGTGAATAAAAAACATCTCAAGGATATGCATGTTGAAGCTGCTCACACTGGCCGCCGCTCATTTTCATGTCATCTGCACGACATCCTTGTTGTACACCTGTTCAACGCAGGTTTGCCTTGTGACACAACTGGTAGCCAGCGTCACCCACTGGATACCATGTGAAGCTATCCGCTCAGCTTCAGACTTGTCACGCAGGTCCCACCTCCTACTCTTAAAACTCATTAGGAGCAGTCTATGTGAGAACCTGCCGTTTGTTCACCCGGGGGTGGGTCAGGGGTGGTAGATGGGTGGCCCGGGTCTGGAACGGGTATGGAACGGTATGGAACGGGGTCTGGAACGAAACGGCCCACTCCACCACAGCACTGCCACCAGGCAGCACATCTTTGTCAAAATTGGCAGTTTGGAGCGGGAGTAGCGCAGCAAGCAATTCTTAGACTGCCAGCTGACAGCAGCCAAGCGCATCCCTACCATCAAACATCACAGCTGTGCCACAGCGTGCAGCAACTGTAAGTGGTGCAGGCGCAAACCTGCCACAGGTTGAGAGGGAGGGAGGGTTGCAAGCGATCCATTCTGAGACTGCCAGCTGGCAGCAGCCAAGCACATTCCTACCATCACACAACAAAGTAGGTAGCAGCTGTAAGTGCTGCAGGCACAGACTTGCCAACACAATCACAGGTCTTGAGCATAGTAAACGTATTCTTCCATGTATGCACTCATGTATGTGCAGACACATGTAAAATCAGATTGCACATGTTCAATATATATCACAACGTATGGATGAGAGGTATGGAACGGATCCTTCCAACAGGTATGGAACGGGGGTATGGAACGGGGGTATGGAACGGGGGTATGGAACGGGGGTATGGAACTAGTGTGGTCCCGGACCTTGTTCCGGAGCTTATAATTTGACTTGCAACTTAATATGGTAGAAAACATCCAATTCCAAAAATGAAATCATAGGGATGTTGGGAATGATGTTGGGTGGCGAAACTGTTTGGAACGACATGACCCATTAATCGCTGAGGATATCGAACTCAAACATCGTTGCAAGGTGCTGCCCCCTAGTTAGCTGTGTAAGTTACGCAGGTTCGCCATGGTTTAATGGTGTTAAGTACCACCTCATTGATCCAGTTATAAATACTAACGTTTTGTCGATTTCTTGAACAATATCTTTTCAACGAAAACATTAAAAAGCAGTATGGCTGATTTATTCCCAACATGATCCCATTATAAGTCCTGGGAAAAGGATCACGATCCCATCATCTCAGCATTTATCCATTGATATCCCACTTTTGCAAATCGAATCGCCATTATGGATTGCACATTCCCGACTTTTCCTTCAACCAATCCGAGGAAATCGAACTCGGCTCCCCAGCTGAGGATCTCTGATGCGGCTGCCAGCACTTTGGCGAAGAGCCTCGGCAACACATCCACAAAATCAGTATAGATGTAACCATGGGACCAGAAGGAGAATGGGTAATTATGATGCAAAACCTATGTGTTGAAAAACAAATAAACATATACAAGTTACCATCCGATAGTCAAACATGGCAAGGTAGCCATTGATAGATGTTTTCCCTTTGACATATGAATTTATTGTGAAGATTTTTATTGTGATGACCATCTGAAAAATCATACATGGCATTTGTACCACCCTACAACGGGGCATTTCAACGCGAAAATCGCTGAATTAAATGAGTGACCTTCCAGCAAACAATGTGTGATTGCCAAAAAGTAGAAAAAATAAACAAGAAAAAAAACAATCCGAATATCACCAGGAATAGGTAATTTTTCACGTACCCAAAAGTGGAAAGTTATGGCATTGGGTCTACTACATTCGAAGTAGCCGTAGGACCAGTAGGAGTATTCGCTTGCAAAACTTATGCCAACCAAATATATTCATAGGTTGTATTAAGTGCATTCACAGTGGTATGGGTCAGTTCACCCGGTAGCCTTGGCTTCAAGTTTTTCAGTTTAAACCAGACAGGAAATGGCTCCGCGGGAAAAACAAAACACACGACAAGAAGATTTGAGTCAGTAAGTGAGCTTGTTTGAGGGTCCTAAACGAAAATATAAAATCTCCCAATCATCATTATGATTATCATCAACACCATCATCACCATGATGATGATGATCATCATCATCATCACCATGATGATGATGATGATGATGATCAACATCATCAACATCATCATCATCACCATCATCATCATCATCACTGTCATCACCATCATCACCATCATCATCATCATCATCAGCATCATCATCATCATCATCATCATCAAGGAGTTTTGCAGTCTTTCAATCCGCATCCTGACCTCAGTTGAGCTCCCGTTGGGAAAGTTTCACCATTGTATACCACCGCGTATTTATCTCTCAAAGGTGATTCTTTTACGCCCTTCAACAAGGTGCTTCTGGAAATCCAGATGCCCCAAAGCCATGGCTTTCTCATTGACGATGTCAAGCCTTGATAATTTGAAGGTCCACCATTTAAGGAAATTATTCTAAAATGGGGGAAGTATCTGGGGATCCCAACCATCAACCAACCATCCAAATGAGGGCCTGGGCCGCCGACGCCGCACACGTGTCGTCATACTTTTTGCTGCGCGCAAGGAGATGCAAGGACCTTGGATGAAGACGTCTGGGCAATGGAAGCCGGTCATCTTAGATGTTGGGGGAAGCAAAACATTCACAGGTGCATAACGACATAAATGGTATGTTTTTTACAGCTGCAGCCAACATATGTATATATGATATGGTATGTGGGCACTATTCTGAGGGCAAAATCCCACACCAGCTGGTAAATGGTTTATCCTATTGAAATCGCATTGTTTACATAGTCATGCCTCAAAGTTGCCAACGAATGCATTTGGCCATCTGAAACCTGACAAGGTGCGACTCTCCTTTGGCATCCACCTCTGCCAAGTCGACACCTGTGGCGGGACGCATTTTTTCCACAAAAGTAAGGCTGGTTGACCGTGAGGGATCTGGGTCATTGGGGATCATCCTCAGAAATGTGGCTGACAAGGAGATAGTAATGATTGAACAATTAACAGGCAGAGAATGGTTGGTTGCTGGCACCAAGTCCATGAACTTGCCTACACGAATATGCAAATAGTATCCTATAATTACCATCATGGTGGCTTCATGCCCACAAATTTGAATTGCTGGCCTAAAATCGGGATTTCACAGCCAAGATTGCAGATGCCACTCCCAAACTTTGGGGTTTTCAGTGCTGGGCCTAATCGATTGGGGAGTTTATGATTGGAAACTGCTGGATCTTCACATAGTATAGGAAAATACTATGAAATAAATTCATTGTTTTCACCCGAAAAGTTTTAACCAGTGGGTCAAACAACTCCAAATGCAGTATTGCTCTTCCTATGGGAGTGTAAATGTTTAACAAGAGAACCACTAACTCAGGTCATCTTTTTAAAGACAGGACCGCGGGCAAATCACCACCTCCCTCCTAGCCCTAGCCAATGAGCCTTCGCCGGAAGTTCCCCTCAGTTCCAGTTGGGCTGCTTGAAGTGTCGTCATGTGAGCACCAGTGGCTACTTCCAGGAAACCTTATTGACGTGCACCTTGAACACATTGAATCAAGAAAACGGAAAACACAATCTTTGTGTTTGTGGGGGTCTTGAACGTTGATTCCTTCGCTGCCTTCTCCTTTCCATGTTTGTTTGTTTTATGGTTCCTTGCAAGAAAAGCGCTTTCAATCAAAAACAGCAAGCAGCCAAGTTGTGTGTGGCTACAAGTTATCCAGCTCAAAGAGCTCACATCTAAATTTCTCTATTTCGCGGCGTCACAACCATTGGGGTTTATGATTATGCATTGTTTGGTTTCTTGCCCCGTTTTTGTTGGTTGTCATCGCCGGGTGTTTTCTCCCCCGAGCCCCAGCCAGTGCAGGCCAGTGGCCAACTTTTCAGGGCGCCCTCAAAGTCGCGAGACCTCATGCCAAGAGAAGTCAGAACCTGCGATATAATTGGGATATTTCTGAGATTTCATTGGGATCGTTGGGATATAACTGGTATGGGAGGTAAGAATCAAAAATGGCATCCGGCATAAAATATACCCATCATATTCCTTTTAGATATTCCATGGTCACCGTCCATCTTCCAGGAGGAACTGTGCTGAATTATGTTGCATTGCACAGGTTTGTTCGACATTGGGCTAGAAACTAGTGGGCTGCCCGCGGATGTCCTCCAAGTCATGGGCAGGGCTGCCAGGAAACAATTCAGACTCATGCTGATTTGGGGCCATCATACAATTTATGTCCCCAACTGTATTCACAACAACTTCTTTGCTCATGTGAAGTTTTGTTCAGTTTGTTGTTTGAGACTGTATACTGCCTTGTCCCAAGTTTACAATCTTTGATCCTGCTATGTTGCAGAATTATGTCAATAATGTTGTTGAACCAAAAAACATGCAACATACCATTTCGCCTTTTTTGTACCCAATTGAGGTCTGTTATGTGGTTTGCCGCCTTATTTATATATCGGCGTTTTTTGTGCGCACGTATTTGTGCGTAGAATATACATACATATATATGTATATATACACACAGTAAACGAAATCAACTGAACTAACACCATGGCAAACAATCGAATGTTTGAATGCCAAAATCAGGTTTTGTCACGCCCACAAACCAGTTTGAAGCTGCCAGCTGAGACAAGGGGTTGGCACGTCAAACACTCATTTGAACCTTCTAGATGTGCCCATGTCGAAACTTTATCATTGGGTGCACCTTCAAGGGCACTAGTTGAATCCCCATGACCATTCTCTTGCCTTGTGCTAAGGTTCCCCACTGCACAGCAGCGAAGAATGAGCTGGGTGCAGTCTCACGCCTGCCCCGAAAACAGTTGCACAAGTCTCCAAACAATGACCAACCCATTTGTGGCCTGCTGATTCTTAAAGCCGGTGAACTTCGAGCTTCCCATGTGCGCGAATAGAAAGAAGAGAAACACATATCAACCTACAAACAAGTAAGTTTTACACACGGCCAAAAAAAAAGCAAACCAGGCAATGAAAGAACCAAATAGAAAGATGACTTGATTTAGGCAAGAATGAGCGATTGCCTGGCTGGTGGCTCAACCCATCCTAAAATTATGAATAAGCACCATTGTGATGTGATTCTAACTGGTGATGGCCCTTTTTCCACCAGTGCCATGAGCACATTTGTTGATCAAGTCAAATCCCAATTGTGCATTGCTGCAGAGGAAAAAAATAACAATCATATTGATTCGATAATATTGGCTCCCATTTTATTTTGAAATCGCCAGGACCATGTCTGATGGTTGAATTCAGGTGTTACTCATCGGGTTGGCGCACGCACACAATCAAGGTCTCAGCGTCAAGGAAGATCACTGGTATCTACATGTAGGATGGTAAAGTCTGCTTTCTTTTCATCTTCCACGTAGCTAAAAACTAATGCACGTGTCGACACCATGTGCAGCTTTCCAACCTATTTGGATAGGTAATTCGACAGTTTTGTTTTTTTTTGGCGCGGCGTTGTGGGGTGAAAAGACATTTCCCAAAACTTGGAGTACCTCACAAACATTGATTTCCCTACTAAATACTAGCTTGGATGAGAACTTGGGACTCACCATGACTCTTAAAAACCCAGCTGATGACCTTACTAATGAAAAAAATGAACTTTATGGTAGCTAGTGAAAGTTTGGAAACGCATTGGTGTCTCACACCATCTGTAATCTGATACCAGCTGTCAAGATACTTGTCCACATCCATGCTCAGCTTCATTCATGGCAATGTCACTCAACACGCCAGAACCTCTAGCAGCCCTAAATGGCGTTGAATGTTGAACAAAGCAAACCCATGGAAAACGTATTGACAGGTGAAAGAAAATTTCCCTTTGTTGTATCACATTTTCCTTAGCAACCCATTGCTAAAAATGACTCACCTGGGCAAATGATCACAAATCCTAGCCTGAAAAAACAATATCTTTTTGTTTTCTGTGGCCCCCCCATATGTAAACCGTTATTGATTGGTCTTGGTCGAATAAGGAGGTCCTTATAATTTGCCCAGAATCACCATGTGGATGATTCGTCAATCAAAATCCGATTTTTCTCACTGTTGATCGGGTGGTTAAACCATCAAGCTCGTCTTGATCACGTGGTTGGGTCTTAGTAGTAGTTCCTTGGCACCCCCTTTTGCGAAGGAATATGGATACAACCATGGCTCCTAGCTGTTTCCTCCGAACTTAACCCTTAAACAATTTTTGATGGTTAAGCCAGCCATCATCAACTGCGGAGGTACCTCACCGGAGACTCTGCATGACCATGATTTGCGCAGCTCTCCTGACGGCACTGGAGTAACCGGATCCGATGGTATAAGGAGGTGCAAAACCTACGTAGAGGAGCTTCCTAAAATGGAGGGCCTTAAAAATGATCCAGATATAGGCGTTTTAAGAATAGAAAATTGGTCTTGGTGTCACCCATCTTAAAAAGAATCCATGTGAATATGTAACGGATGAAAGTAAATATTCACCGACCTGAAATCAAACAATTTGGGGATGATTCTTCTTTCTAGCCAGCATCAGCCATGTCCTAGTGAGGGTCTTATGTTCAGCCAGATACAGCATAATATGTAAATACGATTTTGTGCATGAACGAGAAACATAATATACATGAAACCAAATTGAACTTTGTTTCGGATTGTACGCGCTTCTATTTCTAGCCTAGTTCACAGGTAGGCTGACGATTCTATTTGAGCACAAAGATTCGAGGATAGGCTGTGTTACTGGACCCCGTCACCTATACATTTTGAGCCTTGGGATCTGCCTATCCAACTTTACTTTAACTCATCTTGTGATGGCTCCTCCTGAAAACAGTGCTCAATCCCCGTCCCCAAGCCTACTGGTTGGTTGATACGGATTCCCATGCCGGACTTTCATTCTGAGATCATCTGGGCAAAGTACAAGTGTACGCAAACTAGAAACAACAATTCTTCGGATCAGTCCTCCAATCTTGACAATCAATGACAATGAGGCTGGCCAGTGAGGTTACCATAAGATAATTTTGCGAGACAAACCCTTTTGATTTCCATATGTTTCCGTTATAAGCCCATCAAATCTTAGTTTCATGGTAAAATCCAAGTTGTTCATGTTTAGACCACCGCACCACGGATGAGCTAGCGTGCAACGCTCACATTTTTCTCCGAAGATCCTACCGGCATTGTGGAGCTTGGGAAGGTCCTCCTTGGTTAGAGTCAATCCAATCCGCCCTTTGTTCCTGAGCAAATAGGAGGCGCAGGACTGAAGTGTTTGTTTTATTCCACAAGCAGTGTGTCCACACTGATCTTACGGTGGGTGTAAAGCCAGGGGGTTCGATCAGGGTGCTCCTTGTGGCCTCCGGCTTTTGGACAGCGCAGGTTCGCACAAAGTCTTCGCGGGCTTTGCTCGTTTCGGAAGGTCCGCTTTTACCGGCGCGCCGTGCTCATTTTTCAAGCTATGTACGTTTTGAGCCAAGACATTTTGACGTCTGGAACGTCGTTTTGCGTGATGCAGGACATTGTAATTACACTTTTCCATCCGCGTGGCGGGCGCGGTGTTTTGTCACGTTGCTAAAACGTTGGCAGGCGTGGGAAATACGAGGTGGTTCGGAGGTCATTTTTTGTGGCAGGCGCATTATTGAGTGAACTCGGACGAAGGTTTGAAAGGCTCTCGTTTCGTGGAACCGTCATACTCGTAATTTGGGACAGATGATGATTTCGCGTGGCAGGTGCAATACTTCGGGTGCATCAGGCTCATGTGTCGTGGCAAGCACAGTACTTCGTAGACCTCATTACAAAAACACCCAAAACTGCGTACAACAATGTAAAACATCGCTTTTCAGTTTTTAGATTTAAGATTCTGGTTTTCAGTGAAGCGCGCAATACTTGGTGAAATTCCAACATGTCCTTGCGCGCAAGCCTCTCGCCAATTTAGCTGCTTCTCAGAGATACTGGCAAAGATATTTTATGAGTCGTCTGGAAAGTCCTCTATGACGATTTTGCAAGAATTTCATGGTGCAGTCTTATAGGTCTCCAATTTATGAATATGTCGACCAAGGTTTTGTCGAGGTCCTTGTGAGAAGATATTGTGAAGACAGTGCATAATCTTGTACAGGTCTTGGCGAGACGATCTTATGAAGATCCTGGTTGGTGAAATCCTCTACGATGTCCTTGCATGATTTGCACAGGTCCTGATGAGAAGAACTTGTGAAGATCCTGGCGCATTCCTCTACGAAGTCATTGCCGATGACCTGTGTTAGAGGTGCTTGTATGAAAGCTCTTGTGAGATGCTTTGAAGAGGTTCTTTTGCAAAGGTCTGGTAGGATCCTCTCTATAGCAGGTCCCTCTATGATGATCCTGCGAGATTCTCTTAGATGTCTTCGTATGAAGCTCTTGTGATCAAGATCTTGCAGAAGTCCTTGTGAGAAAATCTGTTGGAGATCCTGGTGACATCTTTGAAATAGGTCCTTGCATGAAGATCTTGCAAATGCCATGTACCATAGTCCTCCTTGCAATGAAGGATCCCTGGTCTTGGGGGTGCTCCTGTCGAAAGCTCTTCTGGGGTGCTCTTGGGAAATTCTTGTATGAAGACCTGCTCTTTTTATGACGATCTTGTGAGGTTCTGTTAAAGGTCCTGGCATGAAGTTCTTGGTCAAGGTCTTCTAGAGTTGCTTGTGAGAAGATCTTGTAGAGGTCCTGGTGAAATCTTCTACGAGGTCCTTGTCTGATCTTGTACAGGTCCTTGTGAGAAGATCTTCTAAAGATCCTAGTGAAATGTTGTCAGAGGTCATTGCATGATCTTGTACAGGTCCTTGCAAGAAGATCTTGTAGAGATCCTGGTGACATCCTCTTCCAGGTCCTTGCATAATTTTGTGCAGGTCCTTAAATGATCTTGTACAGGTCCTTAGGAGGAGGGGACCTTGTGGAGATCTTGGTGAAATCCTCTCTTAGAGGTTTCTTGCATGAAGATCTTGAAGATGACCTGTATTAGAAACGCTTCTATGAAGGCACTTGTAGGATTTTGTAGAAGGTCCTTCTTTGACGACACCGTGAAATTCTCTTAGATGTCCTCTTGTCAAAAGAATATGAGGTCCTGGTCAGAAAACATAGCGTTGCCTCTTGCGACAAAACAAGCCCCTGTTGCTGCAGTTCCGATAATGACCCGTTACTGTTCCGTAGCCGATGTTGCTTGAATCTCCGACATTGTCTTCTTAACCCCCGCAAGGTTTAGGGTGCCATGGGTTTATCCATCGTTCGAGCAAGTAAAAGTTGGGATATGTAAAATCTAATAGGGGAAAGCAGCCTATCTCCCATGAAAACGGTGATGCCATGGGATATCATACAGGAGCGCAGGCCTGAAGCTTTCTGTCGATAAAAACAAATGGCGACTTCGAATCACTCCCATGAGTTGAGATATAATCATTTGCGAATTGGCAATTGGGCTGGAATTTTGTTGGGGGCGCAAGTGGGGTTGTTATCGTTAATCCATCAAACAGTTGTTGGTGAAATAAATGGGTATAACATAAGGGTTGACCAGCAAAAAAGGTGTAACATGGCCGAGCCAACGCTACATGGGGGGGAATCTAGCCAGCATTATTTAATACTACTCCGCGGGACCTCGAAGGCATGAGTAAATCCAATACTATACCAAGGGGTCGATTGGGTGGTGTCTACTGTTTGGTGGGTGGGGTGAATGTGTTTACCTGCGGAACAACAACGCCACCAGAAGACATCGCCAAAACAAAGCACATGGAACATGCCACGATGGGTGCCGTATGAACCAGCCACTGGGATAATACGATTTAAAACCAGCACACGCTCCGATTTGCCAAAATCTAACTATACTGTATGTTCTATATTTCGAAAACAATACTTCAAGAGCCATGGTGTACATGCGTGGTTCATTGGGTGTGCATTACATTGTAATGAAAGCCCGTACATGACTACAAACCATACTATATGATACTCGCCAAAACTGGTTCAATATATATCAATATATCTAAAATATCTGACCAATTTGGTGTTGGTTTTACCTTTTAGGAGACCGCTGTATGTCATCATGTGCCTTCTGGTGTGGGCTGGCAATCTTTGAAGAACAACTAGTCGCACCTGCTAGCTCATGCTAACATACGCTTACTTTCGAACCTGCTTAGCAATCAAACATGAACCCCACCCGAAAAACTACCTGAAAATACAATTCCCCCAATCTCCATGGATGATCATCATTTTCCAAACTTCCTACTGAAATTGCAATATATTGCGATAAATTGTGGCATTCCCCACTTCTGGACAAACCATGACAAACTCAGAAATTCTTCTGGCGCAAGGCCACTGAAGGTAAGGCTCTTGGGAAGAATTCGAGCATCCAGTTTCAAGCTCCTCAGCAGCTCCAAAGCTGCTGCTTGAACATCCGAGGTGTGCCAGGCCTGTCGCGACTTCCCATAGCCTGTCACCACACTGCACTTCAAGTTGCCTTAGTGGTTTGTGGAAAACCGACTGCGTAAGTGGAACAAGCCAGTGATTGGAATGAAAACCTACTGTTCCTTATTGCATCCCACCAAAGAATAAATCCTAGGCATTTGTTTCGGACAAGTGCTTGCCCAAACAAAACACACACACATACGTGTGTATATATATATACAAATGTTATTTATTGAAATGCTATCCGTCCAGTTGCCACTGCCTTTCAGATGCTGGGCGACCATGGTGGACAACCACCATTGTAGTGTGAGCCGTGCTGCTCCCTCTGAATGCTGGTGGAGGTCCACCTCCAGATCTTGAAACACCGATGAGATGTTCAAAATTGGCAGCAAACCATCTTGAAAAAAACGTCCCCCAAGGTTTTCGCTGCTGTAAATCTCCGCGCAATCGAATAATGCATTGTATGTGACGCTGTTCGGCACAAGTTTTGACGGGAGCATTTCGGTGAACAAATTCAATGCCTGCTGCCATTGAGTGCCCTTCTCACAGGCACAAATGGCAGCACTGTAGCTAATGACATTTGGGTTCACTTGAACTTTCGGCATGGCCTCGAACAAACTTAACGCCCGCTGCCATTCACCACCTTTCTCAAAAGCACTGATGGTTGCATTGTAGCTGATTACATTTGGGGTTACTTTCGCTTCAGACATGGCCTCGAACAAGTTTAATGCCTGTTGCCATCGGCCTCCCTTCTCGCAAGCACTGATGGCAGCACTGTAGATGATTACATCTGGGGCCATGTTGGATTTTTGGACTGCCCAAAACAAGGCCAATGCCCTTTGCCATTGACCTCCCTTCTCACAAGCACTGATTGCAGAGTTGTGAGTGATGGCGTCTGGGCTCAATTTAGCTCCTGGCATAGCCTGCAACAAGTTCAAGGCCTTCTCCCATTGACCTCCCTTCTCACAAGCACTAATGGCAGCACTGTAACTGATGGCGTCTGGGGTCACTTTTGCTTTCGGCATTGCGCTAAACAAAGCCAAGGCCTTCTGCCATTGACCCGCCTTCTCACAAGCACTCATGGTCGCACTGTAGCTAATTACGCTTGGGTTGACTTTGGCTTTTGGCATGGCCTCAAACAAGTTCAATGCCTGTTTGCATTGACCTCCCTTCTCACAAGCACTGATGGTTGCATTGTAGCTGATGACATTGGGGCTTACTTTTGCTTTTGGCATTGCCTCGAACAAGTCCAATGCCTCCTGCACTTGACTGCCCTTCTCAAAAGCACTGATGGTTGCATTGTAGCTGATTACATTCGGGCTCAAGCTGGCTTTAGGCATAGCCTCGAACAAGCCGAGCGCCCTTTGCCATTGACCGCTTTTGCCACAAGCACTGATGATTGCATTGTAGCTGACGACATTTGGGTTCATTTTCATTTTGCCGATGGCCTGGAACAAGTTCAATGCTTGTTGCCATTGGCCTCCCTTCTCGCAAGCACTGATGGTTGCGTTGTGGGCAAATATGTTGACGTTGACCTTGGCCTCAGGCATGGTGTGTAAAAGCCAGCAGGCCTGCTGCCATTGCTTTGAACTTCCACAAGCCGAAATTCCAACAGTGAAATCCCGGTCTTTCAATGCAAGCTTCCGGCTTCGTAGTGCAAAGGCAAATGCGTCAGCAATCAGTCGGGGACGTTTCTTCTCTGCCAGAATATTGAGAATAGCTGAAAAATTAGCTGGTGTCACTTCCATCCCAGTCAGCTGCTGCAAACTCTTCTCATCTGGCAACCGTTGACCTATGCAAGACTTCCACCTTCGAGGCAAGCGAATGCCAGGCAGCATTGGGAGCGAAGCGGTGCTCGGCATTCTGTGGGTGCAACTCATGCTTTGAAAGTCAAGCTGCAGCGATGGTTGCAAGCATGGTTCATGCCATACTTCCGCGACAAATATCACGTGGGTTCCCCACTAGGAAAATACTCTCTCAAGTGATGGTTACACCCTGGAGAAGGCCAATTTTAGGAAGCTCTGCCAACAAGATGACCAATTTGCTCTTCACCAATGGTGTCCTTTTGGCCGGTTCGGCGCGATTTTGAAAATCATGTATCTATTTGTTGTGATGTCTATCGGGGTTGCTCCCTTTTAAATCAACCAGCTTATTGCAAGAAGGCAGCAAAGGGATTGTTTGAAAGGAGAGCCACTCAAGAATTCCAATTGCTAACCACTGTTTTCCCCATTAAACTTGTCGCAAAGTGGTAAAGTGCTAGATCTGATTGGCAGATGAATGAAACCAGGTGTGGGGTTTATGTGGGATGTTGGTGGATTTGCGAGGTACTTTAAATTTAAATCTCCTTGCAAATCTTGGTTTATGCTCAGGGTTTTCTGGTCATATGGCCCCTAAAACAAGAACAGCAAATATGTTTGCCAGGTAGAGTTCATCTGGTCACTTGACGCGACTTGTGGTGACAGAATTGATGCCACTGAGCTAGGCGGAAATGAAGCAGTTTCAATTTTCTTGCGGGCAAACGTCATGGTTGTTGCTTCGAGATCTATCTCTCAAAGGCTGTACTCCCCGAATTTGTTTGGTCATCTTTCTAGCTATCTTTTTGCAATCTAGGCCATTTCCTCTGATTTCTAATTTTGGTGGATGATATGCGTTGTGTGGCTATATGGGAAAAAGCCCGAGCAGCCTAGTGTTCAGAAATTACTTTCTTCGAATGATCCCCCGCTGCCTTTCTATCTGACAGTCTCTCTGGGATTTTATCAGACGCTCCATCTGGCAATCTATCTGATATTTTATCTGGCATCCTGTCTGACTTTTTTTCTGACCTTCTTCCTGGCACTTGAGCTGGCATTCTAGCTGACAAATCTGACATTCCATCTGGCATCCTTTCTGGCATTAGTCCGGCAGCCTATCTGACATTCTATCTAGCGTTCTATCTGACATATAATCCGAGAATTCTACCTGGCATCCTTTCTGGCATTCTATTTGAAATCTATTCTGACATTCTACTTGACATAATTTTTAGCATTCTACCTGGAATTCTTTCTGACATTCCATTCGGCAACTTTTCTGGCATCTATTCTGACGTCCTATCTGAAAGTCTATCTGGCATGTGTTCAGGTGGGTGTGCGCCCAGACTGATCTGAGCTCGCGATAGGGTTCGGGTCCGTGCGTGCTCACTTAGGAGGACAGCAGAGGAAGAAGGACAGATGGAGAACCGAGTTGCACCTTTGCAAAAATCTAGAGACCCTCACCTGGCAGGTGGCGGAAAATGTGTACAACCATTTGCTGAGATTCTTAACCCAGCAAACGGATGTATCCTGGGCGTTGACCCGTCCAATTTCTGATTCAAGAGAATCTTCGAATTCAAAGCCGGATCGGCCCCTTAAACCGAAGCCAAATTGCTATCCATGTGACTGAAGGAAAAAAAAACACGGGACTTAGAGGTGCCCAACTTGGAGACAAAACCATGCCAAACCGCATCTGCTTGTTTTGTAAATCCAAAACCAACCCCCGACCCATCCCCACACTGTAGGAAGGAATAGTTTTGGTTATTTGGATCCAACCAGCCCGGACCCCCGATGTCAAGCTCCTTGCACATGGCAACGAAAGAAGCTGCGCCTGTCAGCCGCGCAGCAGGGTCAAGCGAGGAGGGTGACTGTAAGTGGGATACGGGTGGTGCATTGAACTGTTGGTTTCCTAGGACATGGACCCAAACCACCAAACATTATTCTTCTGAGCAACATCTGCTTTATAAAAGGGTAAATTAGGCAATTTCTCGCTATGAGTCAACATTCTTGTATACAAACCTGAATGATTTATAGTACTTTGCCATCCTGAAAGAAGAAGATCCTGGACAGATTTCGCCCAATAAGCATCATCTAATGAGTCAATGTGATGTCGTTGTTCGAAGTTCAGCCAGATCTTTCTGGATGGTCACTGCTTTGTTGGGCATTTTAATCCTGAGCCACAGCACATCATCCATTCACGCAAAGCAGAAGCCAACGTTTACAATATCATTTATCTAGCTTACGGTGTGATAACAACCAATGTGGCCGAGCTAGTGATAAGAGAAGTCGTTTTAGGACGGTTGTGTCTGATTGGAGGTTCAAGCAATTCTTTACCCTATAATAAACAAACTCTTGGGGCAATTAGTGCTTAGGCTTGATTTGACGGAATTGATCGCTTCATGTGGGCCCATGTGAAAAAATGTACAACCAGAACAAGCCGCTAGTGTTTGAATGGAACAAGATGCAGCCCACGAACCCGAATGCAGTCATGTAAAGCACTCTTGTGAAACAAGTTATTCGAACAGTCTTGTAGAAACTGTGGAATGTGGAAGGGGGTGGAGTGCAAAGTGTGGAGCATGAAGAAAGTGGAGTGTTGAGCGGCGAATTTTGTATAGAGTGTGAAGTGGGGATGGTGGGGTGTAAAGTGTAAAGGGTGGGGTGGAAAAAGTAAAGTGTAGAGTCAGAAGCATAAAATGAGGAAAACGTAATATGTAGTGTGTGGAGTGTAAAGTGGAAAGTGTGGAGTGTACAGTGTAAGTGTAGAGTGTCGAGTGTGGAGTGTAGAATGTGGATTGTAAAGTGTGGAGTGTAAAGTGTAAAGTGTGGAGTGAAAAAATTAGTGTGTGGGAATCTAAAGTGTAAAGTGTGAAGTGTGGAGTGTAGAGTGCAGTGTGTAGAGTGGAGAATGTGAAGGTAGAGTGTAAGGTGTGAAGTGTGAAGTGTGGAGTGTAAAGTGTAGAGTGTGGAGTGTGGAGTGTAAAGTGTGGAGTGTAGAGTGTAGTGATTAGAGTGGAGAATGTGAAGGTAGAGTGTAAAATGTATAAAATGTAAAGTGTGCAGTGCGCAGTGCAAAGTGTACAGTGTGGAGTGTGGAGTGTAGAGTGTAAGGTGTACAGTGTAGAGTGTGGAGTGTAAAGTGTAAGGTTTTCAGTGTGAAGTGTGGAGTGGGGAGTGTAGAATGTGGAGTGTAAAGTGTAAAGTGCAGAGTGGGGAGTGTAAAGCGCAGAGTGTGCAGTCTAAAGTGTAGTGTGGAGTGTAAAGTGTAAAGTGTGAAGTGTGGAGTGCGGAGTGTAAAGTGTGAAGTGTAGAGTGTGGTGTGTCAAGAGTAGAATGTAGAGTCAATGTAGAGTGTAGAGTGTGGAGGGTAAAGTGTAGAGTGTATATAAAAAGTGTCCGAAATCAGTATTGCGCCTGCCATGCAAAATGACATCTCACGATGTCCTAGGCTTGTCACGCGATTTCCACGTTGTCACTGCTTCACGCAGCCCTGACAATGAGATTCGCTAAAGTGCTGCACTACATATTTTGTAGCTCCAAAATCAACGTTTTCCTACGAGTCTTCCTACGGGTTTTCCTGATGAACTCCAGATCTATGAAATTTCGTGCGGGGCTTCCGTCAGTTTTCATCACATCTCACAAAATACCACACCTGCCTCGCAATTTGCACGTTGTCACCACTTGATGCAGCCCTGGCATTGCCATTCACAAAAAATACGCAAGACGACACGTCTAAAGTGCTGCGCCTGCCACGCGAAATCACCATGGTGATCGCCAAAGTCTGCGCTTGCCACGAAAAATGCAACTCATCTTTTTCAAACTTGCCAAAGCATTATAAGCCTGTCGCACAAACGCCTTTCGACACGTTGTGAAACATGTCGGAATGTCACAGCGTTCTATGCCTGCCACGCGAAACGGCGCTACGCGACGTTTGAAGCCTCACACACTTTCGAACGGCTGCGCAATGTCTAGCGAACACACCCTCAACCCCCAAACCCCCAGATTGAAACGGGAACCCTTGCTACGCATTCGGGAAAAACGTTGGCTGCGACCAGCAGTTCTCAAAGGCGTGTGGCACCAAACAAGCAGGATGCAATCAAAAAAGATCGGCAAACCCAGTTTGATCCACAAGAATTCGACTTTCAGCAATACAGATTGTCACATAGAACTGCTAAAATGCGCCTGCCACCTGCGACTTTTCCAAATCAGGGGCCCACAGATTGGCCATTGTGAAGGGCCAATTTTGATCGGACCTATTCAACCGAATGGAAAAGACATACCAGATTGCACCTGAAACAGGGAACTGAGGCTAACTGCATGAATCTTTTGATACGCGGTGATCGCATCGAGTGGTTTGTGGTGCCAACTTTGGTGAAAGCACGAAGGCCCGTTGTGTGAACATTTTCCAGCCCTAAGAAAGAAAACAACCGGTCGAAACCGCCAGCCCCGCAATTCCAACTTAAATTGCTTTGCGCCTTTGCATCTCGCGATCCAGCTTGTGATTTTTCATCTTTCTATACTTTAGCATTACTACCTTTTTTGGATTAGCCTTCAACTTCTTGACTGGTTTCCACGTCCTCTATAGCTTGGACATCCCGCATTGTGGGAATCCACCTGCCAAAAGCTGACAAATTTAAGTGGGATACGTTTCTTAAAATACAATCTAATCACTAAAAAACTACAAAACTTGAGTGTGCAGCAATCAAGTCGATCATTTTCCACTGCTTAAGTTCCATCTCCGATGACCGATGATTATACCAAAAATTCGTTGGTTTTTGTTGGTACAACTCAAGTCGTCCAGCATTCCCGCCCCACGCCTTCGGGCTTGCCCTCTACTGGCGGCAGCGGCACGTTGAGATCTTTGCTCAACGTCGTGCCTAAACATGGGCGATGTGACACGATAGGGAGGGTTTGTTATTGCATGGATTGGGTTGAGGCAAATTTCGCACGAAACCACGGCTTGAATCAAGCACAAGTAAGCCGAAGGGTTTACTAGGGTGGATTCCCTTAACCCAATTTGCCGTAATGTGCATTTTCAACACAATCGTGCCAGGGAAACTGGTCATGTGCCAGACTTTTCTCGCTACCTGTGTAATGTTAGTGCTTGTTCCGTTCCAATGTTGCTTGGTTTCAAGCTTGTTTTCCCCCGCTCTTGGTGGCACACCCAATTTGCGTGGTGGTGTCTCATGACTCATGACTGTTTTAAACATTATGCATTCGTGGCGTGGCACAACATGCAATCCTTTTGCAGAAACCATTTGCAACGCCCGTTGAGGCCGGATCCCAGTTCATCTGATGACCAACGGTGAGAACAAGCTATCGAACTTTGGCTAGTCAATCTTACATGTTCATATACAGGAACGGTCAACCCCCCCGACAGCGACGGTTTTCTGGTTGCATTGTAGTCCCCATCGTGCTCAAACTCCGCATCATTGAAAGTGCAATGGCTGTTTTTGGCGGTTTCTGTATCTCCAGCACACATTCATCATGTGGGTCTTCCTTACTTTTGAAAAGTCCAATTGGTTGTGGTCACTGTTTTGGTTGGATCAAAACCCATTTTCTAGGTCCTGCCCCCATGTGCTTATTTTTGAAGACTAACCTACCGAGCCATAGAGACGGAACCAAAACTTGAGGCTGCAGCTCGGCTTAACTGATGGGGTGCAATCATAATGATTGTACCTCTACAGAATAAACCGCAGCCATGTTTAATTTAAATTTCTAATATCAATCCATCAAGCTCCCATTATGGCTTCATGAATCTCACGAAATCTCACAAGTTGATGATCAAATCACCATATTTTCACATTAGCAACGGCAGCTGCATCTCCAAGAAATGCCCTCATCAGCCCTGGGGGGTCCCTGCTCCACCCTGCGGCCGTGGGGCGAATCTTTGGATCCTTCAGAACGGCATCCAAGCCTCACACGGCTGCGACGAATCTTCGATGCCCGTTACGGCCAAAACGGGTCAGCTGGGCAATAAATTTGAATCACGCAAAAAAAAGGTGCATATTGTATGGAGAACATGGCGGCTTTTGTGAGCTGAGACTATCCGCATCAAAACGGTCGAAGATCACGTGTAACGCTTCCCGACCAGTGCTGGAAGGGAAGCAGAGGGAAGAGATCCTATAGAATCTAAGGCCAAAATGTCGGATCTAGTCGTACCAGATGATGTTTACAGTCTCTTGGGATGACCATTTTCAAGCCAACCAACGATGCCTCCTTCAATTGGATGGACATTCGTATTGCCTAGTGTTTATGTGAGCCATTTCAGCAATGTGTTGTTGGTTCCAGCACCCGTACCGGCATTGGGTTTATCACACCAAGCAACAAATATCGAGATATGGCAAGCAAATTGTGGGATGTGAAACCGCAATACGTGCCCATTGTTGGTGGCTTCAATCTGAAATGCGATGTTCAGAAAATGTAGGCCAGCAAGCGCGCGGGTTTCATATTGCCAGGGTTTGGGAGAACCGGTTGGTGCTAAGTAATCAGGAAAACCAGTAGTAACTGGTAGAAACCACTAACAACCGAAACAGGAACATGGGGATATCAAGCAACAGAACCAAAAGCAGGAACACAACTAACGAAGATGGAGATACGGCAAGCAAAATGGTCGCACCATTTTTTGTTGGCGGTTGTTTGTCAGTTTGTGGCGCAACCCACTTCTTGCGAAATGACACGGACACGCCCAGTGTTGATCCCACATCTAAACTCCGAACCAAGCCGAGCAGCTTCGACGCAATCCTCACGTTGCAGTCTTCCAGGGCCACAGGCAAAATAAATTATCACACTCACACCTTCGGATTTTTTCTTCACATGTGGCATAAAAGATGTTCTGAAAAACTGCAAGCCGAGAGCCTTCCCGGGGAAACTAGGAACACTCAAAGAAAGATATTGTTTTTCTTGAGCCTGGGGGTGTACGTGAACCCAGCCATGATGGCAAATCATGAAAAAAAAGTGGGTTGTACCAATGACAGTCTCTTGATATTTTTTAAAAAGGGTCTGTCTCATTCTTGTCAATTTTTGCAATTTGTTTGGCTCATTTTTCGCCAAATAAATGCTGTCCACTGTTTCTATCGCGGTGTGTTTCAAACACAAATACAAGCCCAAATAGATACAAGTCCAGCGATGTTCCCTTCCAGCGACGTGTGCTAGCCGCGCCCGGCCGTGCCCCGGAGATATTTTTTGAACGAGCAGTGGCTATAGAGCCTCAAGGGCCTCTTGGACAGTTTTGGAACGCAAGAGCTATTGAATCAATCGACGGGGTGAGTTGCAATGTCTGGCGCAGGGAAATAAATAAAATCGAATAAACGCGTGAAAGATTTTTGGACATGAACGAAAGACTGAACGAACAAAGGAAGGAGCGAGTGAGTGCAGGCATGAATGAACGAAAGGAAAGAACAAGAAAGAATCACAGCAGGATCTGCCAAGACACGAGCTCGAAAAACGGGATCTGCAGAGAAGAGAGCAAAGTATCAATGCACAGTACGCTGAAGTGGTGGTCAGTACGCAAAAAACCATATCCACGACACACAAGGAGCGGCTTACAGCGAAAATGTGCAGGCTGTAAGAGGACATACGCACTCACAAATATGCCATAAAGAGGCCTGCTGTCAGCAAGCTAGGAGTGGTGGAGGAATAAACATGTGACGGCGTGATAAATGAATGAAAACATGAGCTAATGAGCCAACGCAATATCAAAAGCGTGAAGAACGAGCTGTACGACTGAATATGTGCGCATGAATTCGTGAACTTCTTCTCGAAGCTACTTCTGCACTAAGCTACCTCTGGCCTGACCTGCCTCTTCTCTGATCTATATTTTCTCTCAGTTCCGTCTTCCCTGGGCAACGCCTTCTCTGGATACTTCGTGGCTAAGCCGCACCTTCTGCAACTCAATCATTGGCATCTCATTGGGTTTACAATGCGCTTAGCAACCTCCAGTTGCAATGCCGATTGGCTGTGAGTCGCACCATTTCCAACAACTTTCTTTCGTGCTTGTCACAATGTGTTTCGCAAGCACATGCATTCCCGCAAGCACATGCATTCCCGGAAGCACGAGCGTTGCAACACATCAAGAAGACTCAGCCCCGCAGCGCTGACAATGTGTTCAGGGACGTCCAGCCCTCTCTGTTTGTGACAGCTTGTGGGCCAATGTGGTGATTTGCCCCTTTGTAAATTCAAACGAGCTCACGGTACAGCCTCGTGCACTTTTTTTGACCTTATCTTCCGAGAGTGGCCCGAGATTGCTGTGAGGTGTACATGTTTCGTCGGCGCTTGCTACAGTTTCGACTTGAAAGAGCACAGCGATTTGCGCACTTCCATCCTTTCATAGGCAAACTCACTGGGTCCCTGTCTCTTACCGTGATCTGAAGTTTCCGTTGTGCCTGCTGTCACCTTCCTTGCGAGTGGGACTACCTGTCTGTGTGGTTGACTTGGTGAGATGTCCGTTGACATTGGCCCGTAACTCGGAAGTTGGTCGACCAAATTTAAAAAATGGTACCGTAATTTCCCGGCAAATAGTATAGGCCTTCCCCAAACCTTTTGAACAAGGACCATCGACTACTTGCTTGTCCAAAACATGCTTGCTCAAACCTTCGGCCGATTGCTTTCGGTGGGTACGCAATGGAATCTAGTTTAAGACCGGGGGCTCTGAGACATGCAATTGGCCCAACCAAATGCGGCTAGCCGCCAAGACCTTGTAACCACCTATTGCTTTTTTCAAGCTATGAAAGGGCCGTCAACTTGCCTTTCACCATGTGCTTTTTTTACACATATGCCACTACTCTGGTAAATTGTCACGGTATACTCTGTCCACACGTTGCAAAATCACTCTTTCAACAACATGGTGCCCAGTTTGAAATCGCTTTTCGGGACATCGAAAGCAACACCGAACAATCACCAGTAACCTTTCCAAAAAAATCCATAAATAACAGCTTCGGTTGGTCAGCATCGATTTGCTATTTGGCAAACCGACCATGCATTAGACAAATCCTCTTTGCGTGTTGATCACCAAGATCATTGTTTGTTCACGCCAAATTTTTGATGGTTCATCGCCAATATCCATTGATCCAATTTGTCTATGCGGGGAAAACCAATTGTCGCTCTCCAATGCCTGATGCTTTTCTCAAAACAGCCTAGCTAAACCTCAACAAAACCAGAAATGCAAACAAAGAGGCTAATCCTATATACCCTGCTGACAAACCTCTTTTAAGCCACGCGTAATATTCCCCCATTGCTCCTGGCATCCCTTGCGCATCCTCAAGCAGGCGGTCCAGCAAGGCGGCCACTAGCCCTTGGGCAGCACGCGCCTTGGAGGGCCAAGAAAACAACATCAATACAAAGTGGGAGCTTTACCTGGGAATATGTTGGGTGTCTTGTTTCAAAAAAAGGCAAATGCAACTTTGGGTTGTCAGGCGGTCACAGCGATGCCACCAAGTGTTGGAACCACCGATGTTGGACACGGGCGTGGATCGAAGAGATGAATTGGCTGCATCGCAATCTCACCGAAATAGCCCGGGACATCAGCCTCCATGTCACAACGAGCTACTGTGTGGCATCAGCCCCGCTTCTGCAAAATGTTTGGTGGCATTATCGCAGTCCGGTTCCATCGGTTTAATCTGTTGAAGATATGGCCTATCATATGCCAGTGACAATTTCCTTTCACAAATACTACCGTCCCACTAATCTACGCTGTAATTTTAGATTTCAGCTAGGAAGACCGGGAGAATCCGGGGTGGGCGCCTATCCAACATAGCCTGCCATGGGATGCCTTTTGTAATCCACCCTCCCACCCTCCGATGTACTCAGATCCCAAAGATTGACATCACAATCCAACTAGCCCGCAAATAAACCCCGGCCGAGAGCAGATGACGGAGCCTATATTACATCTACACCATTCACCCTCCGTTGCCCAGGTATGAGAATGTCCCGGGAGGTCGAGGACAGGGAACTGCTCACGTACCATGAGCTCATCCTGTTGCAGCAAACTTGAATGCCTTGAGCACATACCTTCAAGCCAATGTGAATGGGACAAAGCAAGGTATTTGCAAAAACATATTCAGGATTGAATGTATCCTTGACATGATAAAGCCGGTATCAAAATGACACGCGCCAAATTTAGTGTAAGAGTGACAAGAAAAGGCTAGGGTGGTGGAGGTTGGGTGGGTACTCTGAATGGCACATTGAAGACTCAATAAATTCCGCAAATTGTTCAACCACCATTGTTGGTGGTTGTAGCCTCGCAGCATTTTATGGACACGATTGTTTCATGATGAAAAACTAGTTGAATCCATGCTCAACCCTGTTGTGTTCGCGGTATCTAAATACATGTTTGCCTTTACTGAGGATGATTTAACTTAAGCTCTACAGGGTTAAAACCTGCGAGCGGTCAAGTTCGCAACGGGCCACCAACGTCAATAACATTGATTCCAGAAGAGTTTTAGTTGTCACAGCAAACGTCATTCATCCCAATATGTTCCTCAAGATAGATAGATAGATAGACAGACAGATAGATAGACAGACAGATAGACATACTATGAGGGTACACGCTATAGAAGGTTAAAATATGCCTGTTTCCAGAGTCTCATGCGCAATTGCCTTCACGGGCCAAATTCATAGCAAGGAGCCCAGTGAACTACGGATAGGCTAATCCTTCGGGCCGAGGTCTGTCTGGCACGCCGCCAAACCAACAAAATCAATCTGGCGCCCTGCCCCCCCTTCGGGCACGCCCTGCCACTGCGCGGACGCTGCGGACACCGTTTGAGCCTTACTAAGTTAAATGCAACGGGGATGGTGGGAGGGTGAGGGAGGAGGACGGGGCGGACAGAGCGCCAGAATGATTTTGGAGGAAAGCGTAAGTTAAACGGAATTTGCCCAAACGGGGCGCCTTGGCCTGACATGATGCTCGGAACCTAGCCGTCGAAATGGGACCGCGTAACTGTACGACAAGTTTCCACGCCATGTCCCCTCATTGTGTATGTATATATATAAAGATGATCCTGGGGCAGAACCGGCAGAGTTCCAAAATCATATTCTGGCGAACAAAGCACCTCAAACTCAAACCTTCCCTGCTGGACATCTTCAAAAGCCAAGCGACTCTGTCGCTGAGGTCCAGCTTCACGTTGCGGGCGCTCGACATTTCACCTTTTTGCGTCTGCACTGGTTCACAAAGCGTGTCGAAACGGGCATTTTTTGGTTTCAAAGAAAAAGTGTGGATATGTGGGTTTTTTTGTTGTTCGATGGCCTTTCCAAATATCAACTATTGAATTTGCGCTGTTCTTAGCTTGTGTCCCAGAGTCTTCAACGTTAGGCTTGTGCTGCAAAGTGAATGTAACCATGTTGTGGGGCAGATCCCAGCTCCAGCGACAATTCTTGACACGTCCCAAGGTTTTGGAGACGCCAGCCAGCAATATGCCTGTGGCTGATGGTTTCATCCCGCACTTGCTTTAAAATTTGAAGCCGGCAGCCATTCCTTTACCACCAAGAAACCTACACCGACCTTTTCTGGTTTATCCCTGTGGCCCCTAGTCTGGGCCAGTGGTCCACGGTAGTTTGAGTTCCCGTGTCCATGTCAGTCCCAGAGGCACAGTTGGCCCCACATCTCCGCGAGCTGTTTCAACAGCGCAGGGCCACCCACAGTACCTCCCATCCACAAACAAGTTGGGGAGCAGGAGGCCGACCAAAGTTGAAGGGAGGTGAAGCCGCACTAGTTTTTAGGACCTCTTGCAAGGTCCAGAGAGAAGCGCGTACTCAAGATCCCGTGTTCCAAATGGGTGTGCGACTCCAGCCCAGTGACGTAAGAGCTGTAAAGCATGCAAAGGAAAGCGGAATCTGCACTTGGAGGCTGCTACCAGCCAGAGATTGAATCACGCATCCGAAACAAGTGGATGGCCCCAACATTAACATGTCTTCAATGGATACAACTTCAATTTCTGGACAGGGGGGCAACATGATCGTATCCCATCTGGATTACCACAAGCTACAATACTTTGGGTATTGCGTTGGCTCAATCCGTCTTGATTGTTGAACTGCCCTTTTTCAAGTGCTAGACTGCTAGACCCATGTTCTTGCATACGCATCACCATCTCCAACCTTTAGTCGTTTGTGTCTTCAATAGCCGAGCTGGTTGCACTTCTCAATGCTTTCCGCTTAGAAAAAACGAAGAACAGCATCCCGGTTTTTGCGGGGTCGCATCCATAGTTTGGACCCGGACAATCACATCTCCCATGGCTCACTTGGAGCTGAGAGTCGTTCCTTCACGTCCTCTTGGCGATGGTGGTGCTGTCCCAGGAGAAGCCAGCAATTTACTTGGGTCACTATGTTGGAAAGACATACCTGGGTTCACTAATACAAGGACTGACATGCTGGAGATGTGACTCTGAATGGGATAAGGTGTGCGTTTGAAACGTGAGCAGGAATCAAGCAAAACATGGGTGAGTGCAAAATTGGCTTTGTGACGTGTAGCATTTTTCTTGACAGTATTGCGAGAGAATGAAACCATCAAACTCAATGGCTCAAGTGGGAATAGCAAGAACAGAATCAGCGCAGTAGGCCAGACAATCCGTGGTCTCTTCTCAACTACTAGATTGCTAGGTTAAAAAATGCACGGGCCATCATCATTACAGCCCACGGCATGCTCAGAACAGGAATTTACACCCAGGCGATTGAAATAAAAATCAGCTGGAGTTGAACTTTCAGATTGGTGAAAGCAGCCTGTGTATTGTATTTACGTTTTCTCACCAACAGTTACGATTTTACCAGCAGCTTGTTTCAACGAAAGAAACTTGAGATTTTACGTTGCCAGGTTGGATTTCAAGAGGACCAAGTCTTAACCCTATAGTTTTTCTCTTTCCCTTGCTTGGCAAAGGATCCGCCAACAGTTCGTCCCACTTGTCCACAATGACCAGCAACTCGCCGAGCCTTGGGCGACGGCCAACACAGATATCTAAAGCAAAGGTGCAAGTTTAGGAGCAGTTTTACCTGCAAAAGTGGAGGTTGAGCAACAACCAAGTTTCATGAAGGGACGTGCCAGATATATGTTGACACCGTTAAACGGGCGCGGCAACCCATATCATGAAAACAAAGCTCTGGGTAGGATCACCAAAAGGATCCAAAAGGTCAATTTTCAATGTCAAAAAAATCAAGGTGAAATAGCCAACATCAAAACAGTAACGTGGATGACAAAAAAGAACAGTTATGGCTAACAGGCAAGTTGGACTGGGCAACAGCGGAACACTCTTTGCCAAGAATTGTGAACCGCAAATGGGGGAACTTGCAGCCGAACAGGTTCATGCACAATCAGACGCGCGGCCCAAATTAGAAGACAAAATGAAGCTACGAAGGTACATGCAAGGAATGTGACATCTAGTATGGAATATCTGAGACATAGCACTGGTATGTTTGATGTTTTATGGACATGAAAAGTGTCCGCGCAGCAAGTGGAGAGGGTTTCGTGCATGAACATTTCGGCCGACGCAAGCAACATGAAAAAGGTAAAAGCAGCCAAGCATGCCCTTGAATGTTGCACAAAGATGGTTTGTAGCAAAACAACGCTTTCTTTCTCGGATCAATAATTTTCAAAAACTATGAGCCTGGTTCGGGCTGACACTTTTCTGGCAGCCACAAATGAGCAATTCAACGCTGCAAAAAAAACCGCACAACACGTGCAGGTCCAATTGGGACACCAAACCAGGCCAAAATTGAACTGGAGGTTCAAAGGGATGAAACCATCTAGCTATATCTACAGTACGTTTGACTCTGGATTGTTTCGGCGCATGTTGTTTGACTGAAACCATGTTCCAGCAGATTGGCTCCCTCCACCCCAAACCAGGAAGCCAAGAAGCAGCGCCACAGCTTTGCGTGGCCAACCCAGGCGGTCAAGTTCCGAGGATGGGAGAAGCAGCTTTCCTGGTGCACTCGCCCGCCCTCAAAAGGAGACAGCTTTGCCCACTACAGTACGTATGTTGTGAAGGAGAATGAAACTTGACATGCGCGTTGGCAGCCGAAGCACATGGAAAAATTTGGATGGCATGGTGGCAAATAAGGACAAAACCTATCAGCCAAATGAAAAAGATATGATCAGCAAACCGGGGGTTGTATTTCAAAGCAAGCCTGCGTGCTGGCTAACTTGCTCAATTGCGATCTCATTTGCCTGGGTTGGACCGAAAAAGAAAAATCAAGCTGCAACCTGCACTTGTGACATGCATGCCCAAATATGAAAGAAATTTGGCCCCAGAAATATGGGTCATCTGGTGTGGTACCTGTTAGTTAAGGAGACACCAATTTTTTTGCGCACGCGCAGACACCTTTGATTTTGCTGGTCCTTTGAGCGCTTCGGCTTCTTGCACCAAGCATCGCACCTGTGCATCAATGTGCACAGGGGCTTACAAGTTACGCGCCAGCAAATGTCGAACAACGACATTTGGGGCGCAATTCCCCATGTGTTGCAACATGTCGTGTTACATTGCTAACCCTGCCAAATTTGTTAGTTGAGCCCCGAAACCAACCGGCAAAAGCCAAACCACCACTAGCGACTAATAACAAAGCATTAGAGTAACTGTCAATTTTTCGTGCTTCAATATTGACCCCCGCCGCAACTGCTAGAACTAGTGCGGCTCAATATTGAATGCGGTCATTTTGGCTCCTCTGGCGCTCCTCTGGCCCACGGCAACACTGCCTAAATTGTCGGGGGATAAAGTTAATTTCAAGGCAAACGGCCGGATGGCCCTTGATGGTATGTACTTCAGTAGAATACCTCAACAATTCAACTCCCCTGCACCTCGGCCAATCGGGCAGCCTCAGATGCACTTGGCAGTGGGGCGTGGCTGCAGATATAACACGCAAAAATACATTGGAGTAAACGCGCAGAATTTTCATATGCTTTTCAAGTGTGTACACATATGTACATATATACACATAGATTTGAAAAGCAGGTGCAAAGCAAGTGAAGAGGTATTCGCCTTTGATATGCGGATGAGGTGTTTGAATACGCGATAAAAAAACAAGAACATGCATGTTCACAAAACAAATCTAGCAGCACAGTAAATAATTTGACATGGGCATTTTTCGCACCAATAGAGATTACGCATACACACACATGTATATATATATATGCAGATGCACGATACCTATATCAAACGAAGCACAGAGAACCAAGACAATGGAGAAAAAAGGTCAACAAAGCAATGCTTGACACATGGAAACAAAACAGTCAATAGTCAATACTGAAGACGAGATTGTACACACATAAAATGTGCAGTACAAGACATGCTTACACCAAGAGCTACGTGCAATAGGCACAGGAAGAAGTGAAATTCAGCAAGACATCGTTTCTTGCAATCCCTCTTTCCATGAAAAGCATATGCACACATAGAAGTTCAGACCACACAACAGCTGTATAAGTACAAGCATATCTAAGCGTGAATGAGCTTGAATATATGAAAAAAGTAACTCATGTGTATATATTTATACACATGTATGTAAAACTTGAAAGATACAAACGAGAATATGCAACAGTCAGGGCACGAAACAAGGCTGAAGCAAAATCGGAAACATGAACATATGTACAATGATAAACAGGCAGAAAAAACCAGCGCTACCAAAGCAGTTGAAACCAAGAGAAAGCCGAGGAATTGCAAACTCAGTTCCATTCATAACTCTGACAAGTTATGGCTGCCCACATGTGGCAGGTCACACGGCAGAAAGACGCAACGGGCCCGCTATCCCTGTCCTAATATCATGAAAGGCGCTGTTTTAATAGGTCCCCGCCCGGGGGCTTAGACTGAAAGCGAAAAAGGAAAATGAGCCTTTTTTCCATCAGCTCAAATTTAATTGACCGTATATGGCACCCGTGCAGGATGGTTGCAGAAAAAACTGCTCGCGCCAAGCCGAGTTGTGATTCGACGGACGCAATGATGATAGGTCGGCTTGCTCCGGCCGAGGCTTGACAGTGGTACACCGAATGGTAGCATTAAAATTCGTACAGCTGGTTGCAATGGTTGATGCCGACAGCCCTGGACATCTTGTGGTTCTTTGCTTGAAAGGTGCATCCATGTTTACCTCCAAGAAGCCAGGCTTTGTTGCTGTTTATGAAATGTTGCGGTGGCTGTTGCTGCTGTTTGTGCTATCGTTGTCGTTGTGATTGTCCTTGCATTTGTTGTCCTTGTCACGGTCCTTACAATTTTTGTTGTTGCTGTTGTTGTTGTGGTTGTGGTTGTTGTTGTTGTTGTTGCTGCTGCTGTTGTTGTTGTTGTGGTTTTGGTTGTCGTTGCTGTTGTTGCGGCTGCTGGTGGTGGCGGCAGCGGTGGTATTGTTGCCGTTGTTCTTGTCGTTGTCGAGGCGGAGGTTTCCCGTGAACTTGTGGTAATGGTCGTGATTATGGTTGTGCTTGTGGTTGTGATTGTCCTTGGGGTTATGGTTGCGGTGATTGTTATGGTTATGGTAGCTGTTGTGGTAGCGGTTATGGTTGTGGTTATCGTTGTGGTTGGCTGTGGGCGTCGTAGCTGTGGTTGGCTGTGGTTGTGTGGTTGTGGTTGCTTGTTGTTGTCATTGTTGTTGCTGTTTTTGCTGTTGTCGTCTCCGACTCAGTAAAGGTTAATGTAAAAAGAAGATGTAGCAGTAGTAGTGGCAGTGGTATTGGAAGTGGTGCCAATGGTCGTACTAGAACTTCAGAAGCACTGGACAAAGAACTAGAAGTGGAAGTAGTAGTAGAAGTAGAAGTAGAAGTATAGAGGCAGAAGTAGATGTAGCAGCAGCAGTAGCAGCAGTAGCAGCAGCAGTAGCAGGAGGCAGAAAAAATAGCACATAGTGTCACAACTGCCTGTACAAGAATTAAACAAGAAATAAAAGATAGAAAGCAGTAGAAGAAGAAGTAGTGGAATCTTAGAAGTTTTGAAGTTTGTAGCTTAGTTCCCCACATTGACGTGTGGG